GGGGTGGTGTTAGTTTTTTATACTAAAAGCTATGTGTACAATATTTACACTTAATTCCCAATACCTATCCCCTATGTTAGACAGTGCACTTCTGCTCTAAACCAATCCCAAAGTGCCACCATCACAGCAGAAAATGGAGACCAAGAAGGAGAAGAAAGGCTGGACACGCCCAAGTTCCTCCATCTTGTCCCCACAACCCCCACACCAAAAATCCTAAAATCTCCATTTTCACCCTGTGATCATTTTATTATTACACCATTCAAACCTCTGTGACTTTCAGGTCCTCATACAAAGCTGGCAACTTGCTCCAGGGGTCACAATCAAATCCCCAGGTGCTCTGGGCTGTGTGCCAGGGTCTCTGAGCCCCCCAGTGGACTCTGGACACCCAGAGGGATGCGCTGAGTTCCAGCAACCCCTTCCCACTGAGGGTGCTCCCTGAGCAGAGCAGGGCAGGGGCTGGAGTCTCTTCCCTGCTGTTTTATCCAGGAGGAGCTGCTGGGGCTGTGCCTTTGCTGGGAGTTTTTCCCCTCCCAGAGCAAAAGTTTCGCCTCTTGGAGCCTTTCTAGCCTGGGATGGAGCTGTGGGATGTGGATTCAGGCTCCAAGGCTCCTGCCCTGGCTGGGCAGCAGAGCCCTGGGGTGTGACCGTGCTCACAGGGGTCTGAGGGTGAGGGAAGAGATGAGGATCTCACTCCATGTTTCAGAAGGCTTTATTTATTATTTTATGATATATATTATATCAAAACTATACTAAAAGAATAGAAGAAAGGATTTAATCAGAAGGCTGGTTAAGAACAGAATAGGAAAGAATGATAACAAAGGCTTGTGGCTTGGACTTTCTGTCTGAGCTAGCTCACTGTGATTGGTCATTAATTAGAAACAATGAACATGAGGCTAATTAAAGACCTACTTGTTGCATCCCACAGCAGCAGATAACCATTGGTTACATTTTGTTCCTGAGGCCTCTCAGCTTCTCAGGAGGAAAAATCCTAAGCAAAGGATTTTTCCTAAAAGATGCCTGTGATACTGGGGCTCCCTGAGCAATTGGGCTCCCAAAGCACCTGAGCTCCTGTTCCAAGCCCCTGGAGGGTGTCACCCCCTGAGTGTGTTGGAGTTCTTTCCCCATCCTTTAGCCATCCTCAGTAATTTAGCCGTGGTTGTTTGTGCATCCTCGTTCTCGGCTCTTTGTCCATCCTCACCCTCGCAGGGGAGGCGGAATCCGGGCACCAGCCTGGGCTCAGTTTCTCTCCCTCCCTTGGGCCCTGCCCAGCCCCGGGAGAATGCAGCCCTTGAGGAGCCGCAGGTTAAGTGGCCCTTAATTGATTGGGAATAATCCTGACAGGTCCTGCGGAATCGCCCCTTTCCGACTGAATGGCTCGGGCTGGGTCCGTGTGGATGCCAAGGCTGCTTTGCTTGGCTGCATTCCTGCCCTTCCAGCTCGTGCTTTCCTTTTAACCCTTCCTTTCCCGGCTTCTCCGCAGAATCCAGGAGCGGGGATGGTTTTCCCACCCCGTTTGCCTGCAAAGATTCCTCACCTTCTCGGCACTGGGCCTGGAGTTTGTCAGGTTTTTTTGTGGTGGTTTTGGGTTTTTTATTTTTTTTTTTCCCGGCAGAGTGCTCAGAACAGCTGATTTATTGTTTGTGCCTCTGTTATCGACCTGGCAAACTCAGGAGTGACTCGAAGGGGTTGGGGAGGGCCAGGAGGGGGGATGGAGGCTCCCAGCCCCAAATTGTCTCATTCTGGGGGAACAGAGAGAGCAGCTGCTCTGCTGAGAGCTCCCATTCCTCTCCAGCCCCTCTCCTGGGCTCCAGGTGGAGCCTGGGCTGTGTTTCCTCTGTCCTGGGCCTGTGGGAACCACTTCACCCTTCAAAAGGGACAATTTCCCCCATGTCCTGTGGCACAAGAGCAGATGTCCCCATCTCCCTGTGCCCTGAGGTTGTATTTCCCCCCCAGGCTCTGTCAAAGCAGTGAAAACCCCGATTCCCTCAGCGCCCCTTTCCCTGGGCTGGGAGGTCCCCATAGTCCCCCTGCCCATGGGCTTGGATCAATAGCACTGATCAATGATCTGCTCCAGACCCTCCCTGTGCCCCCTGGGCTGCAGCGAGGGGACGAGGGTGGGACCCAGGAGCTGTCCAGGGTGGGATTCCTCCCTCCTGCCCTGTCCAGGCTGGGATTCCTCCCTCCTGCCCTGTCCAGGCTGGGATTCCTCCCTCCTGCCCTGTGCCAGGGTGGGATTCCTCCCTCCTGCCCTGTCCAGGGTGGGATTCCTCCCTCCTGCCCTGTGCCTGTGCAGGATTCCTCCCTCCTGCCCTGTGCCAGTGCGTGATTCCTCCCTCCTGCCCTGTGCCCGTGCAGGATTCCTCCCTCCTGCCCTGTGCCCGTGCGTGATTCCTCCCTCCTGCCCTGTCCAGGGTGGGATTCCTCCCTCCTGCCCTGTCCAGGGTGGGATTCCTCCCTCCTGCCCTGTGCCAGGGTGGGATTCCTCCCTCCTGCCCTGTGCCAGGGTGGGATTCCTCCCTCCTGCCCTGTGCCCGTGTGTGATTCCTCCCTCCTGCCCTGTGCCAGGGTGGGATTCCTCCCTCCTGCCCTGTGCCCGTGCAGGATTCCTCCCTCCTGCCCTGTGCCAGTGCGGGATTCCTCCCTCCTGCCCTGTCCAGGGTGGGATTCCTCCCTCCTGCCCTGTGCCAGGGTGGGATTCCTCCCTCCTGCCCTGTGCCAGTGTGGGATTCCTCCCTCCTGCCCTGTCCAGTGTGGGATTCCTCCCTCCTGCCCTGTCCAGTGTGGGATTCCTCCCTCCTGCCCTGTCCAGGGTGGGATCCCTCCCTCCTGCCCTGTGCCCGTGCCTGATTCCTCCCTCCTGCCCTGTCCAGGGTGGGATTCCTCCCTCCTGCCCTGTGCCAGTGCGGGATTCCTCCCTCCTGCCCTGTGCCCGTGTGTGATTCCTCCCTCCTGCCCTGTGCCAGGGTGGGATTCCTCCCTCCTGCCCTGTCCAGGGTGGGATTCCTCCCTCCTGCCCTGTCCAGGGTGGGATTCCTCCCTCCTGCCCTGTCCAGGGTGGGATTCCTCCCTCCTGCCCTCTGCCCCAGCCTGGCTCAGGCCGTCCCCTCTTGTCTCACTGGAGCCTGCAGCCCCCAGAGCACCCCCAGGATATTTGGGAGCTGCTGGGTTTGAGGCTGCAGCAGGGAAAGGCTCCTCAGAGCCTCCCTCCCTCTGCAAATCCCAGTGCTGAGGTTCAGAAGCTCTGGGGCAGCTGATCCCAGCCCTGGAGTGGGACCCTGAATCCCCACATCCTCCCTAACCCTGGATTATCCCAATCCCCACATCCTCCTCATCCCTGCACCCTCCCCATTCCTGACCCCAACCCTTCACCCTCCTGGGTGCTGTGTCTGTCCATTCTCCCCATCCAACCCTGCATCCTCCCCATCCCTTTATCCTCCCAGGCTCTGCATCCCTGCATCCTCCCTAACCCTGCATCCTCCCTAATCCATCCCTGCATCCTCCCCATCCCAACCCTGCATCCTCCCTAACCCCGCACCCATCCCATCCCATCCCATCCCATCCCATCCCATCCCATCCCATCCCATCCCATCCCATCCCATCCCATCCCATCCCATCCCATCCCATCCCATCCCATCCCTGCATCCCATCCCATCCCATCCCATCCCATCCCATCCCATCCCATCCCATCCCATTCTCCCAGGCTCTGCATTCCTGCATCCTCCCTAACCCTGCATCTTCCCCATCCCATCCCTGCATCCTCCTCATCACTCCAACTCTGTATCCTCTCCATCCCTAAGCCCATCCCTGCATCCCCCCCATCCCGACCCTCTCTCCATCCTGACCCTCTCCCATCCCTCTCCCATCCCATCCCTCTCCCATCCCATCCCTCTCCCATCCCTCTCCCATCCCTCTCCCATCCCATCCCTCTCCCAACCCTCTCCCATCCCTCTCCCATCCCATCCCTCTCCCATCCCTCTCCCATCCCTCTCCCATCCCATCCCTCTCCCATCCCAACCCTCTCCCATCCCTCTCCCATCCCATCCCTCTCCCATCCCTCTCCCATCCCTCTCCCATCCCTCTCCCATCCCATCCCTCTCCCATCCCTCTCCCATCCCATCCCTCTCCCATCCCTCTCCCATCCCATCCCTCTCCCATCCCTCTCCCATCCCATCTCTCTCCCATCCCATCCCATCCCTCTCCCATCCCTCTCCCATCCCTCTCCCATCCCGTCCCTCTCCCATCCCGACCCTCTCCCATCCCTCTCCCATCCCATCCCTCTCCCATCCCATCCCATCCCTCTCCCATCCCTCTCCCATCCCTTTCCCATCCCTCTCCCATCCCGACCCTCTCCCATTCCTCTCCCATCCCTCTCCCATCCCTTTCCCATCCCTCTCCCATCCCATCCCTCTCCCATCCCTTTCCCATCCCTCTCCCATCCCATCCCTCTCCCATCCCTTTCCCATCCCTCTCCCATCCCTTTCCCATCCCTCTCCCATCCCTTTCCCATCCCTCTCCCATCCCATCCCTCTCCCATCCCTCTCCCATCCCGACCCTCTCCCATCCCTCTCCCATCCCTCTCCCATCCCACTCCCATCCCTCTCCCATCCCATCCCATCCCTCTCCCATCCCTCTCCTATCCCATCCCTCTCCCATCCCATCCCTCTCCCATCCCTCTCCCATCCCTCTCCTGTCCCTCTCCCATCCCATCCCATCCCTCTCCCATCCCTCTCCCATCCCTTTCCCATCCCTCTCCCATCCCGACCCTCTCCCATCCCTCTCCTGTCCCTCTCCCATCCCATCCCATCCCTCTCCCATCCCTCTCCCATCCCTCTCCCATCCCATCCCATCCCTCTCCCATCCCTCTCCCGTCCCTCTCCCATGCCCGTCCCTGTGTCCCCTCGCGGCTCCCCTGCTCGGCGGGCTGGCAGTGGTACATCCCTCCCTCCCTGCCTCCCTCCCTCCCTGCCTGCATTGCCCGCTGCTCGGGGACGCTGCTGGCAGCGAGGGCAGCGCTGCGGGGGCTGCGGCGGCCGCGTGCAGCCCCACACCCGCGGGAGAAGGGCTGGAAGGGCCCCCAGATCCATCCCGATCCGTGCCCGGGGCCGGCAGCAGCCATGACCCAGGGGAAGGTACGAGCGAGGCCGGGCCGGGCAGGGCGAGCCCGTCCCTGTTGCGTAACGGCGCCTTCGGAGCGGAGAGAGCGGCGCAGGGAAGGGGTTTAGGAGCACCGAGGGATTTAGGAACAGTGATGGGTGCAAGGGGAGCGGGGCACCCGTGCACGGTGCCTGCCATGGGGGCGGAAGGGGCTGGGGGCTGGTTTGGGGGTTGGGGGCCGGTTTAGGGATGGTTTGGGGATTGGAGGCTGGTTTGGGGTTGGTTTGGGGATCGGGCTGGTTTAGGGGTGATGGATGCACAGCTCAAACCCCGTTGGACCGGACCTGTGGCCGTTCTACCCCCTGTGCCCCCCAAATCCCGGGTGTGGGGGGGCTCCGTGAGCTGTTTGTGCTGTCCCACCCCTGTCCCCATCTGGCAGCACCTCCTGCCCGGCCCGGGGGCTCAGGATTTTGGGGGTTTGGGGGATTTTGGGGCTCTCCAGTGCTCTCAGACCGAGGAGGGGGGGGGGGGTTGTGGATCCTCTGCCAGCTCATGCACCATCGCCATGGCAACGCTCTGGATGCAGCTCCATCCCTCTGGATCTCCTTGGATATTCGGGGGGGTGGGGAGGGGGCTCGCAGGATCTCGGCCCCCTAAACCCAAGGGACAGGGAAGGACAGGGAAGGACAGGGAAGGACAGGGAAGGACAGTCCCTGGGGCTGCCAGGGGAGGTGGCACAGCTGGATCTGCCCGTGGGACTCATCCCAGCCTGGCCCTGCTGTGTTTTCAGGGCCCGTGGCCCCTTCAGCTGGAGCTCTCCTCACTCTGCTCTGTTCAAGCCCCCCTGTTTTGGGGTTCATTGCCTCTGCAGCCCCCCCGAGCTGTGGAGCTGCTGCTCCTGGGCTGAGCTGGCTCCTCCGAGGGCAGCAGAGTTATCCTGGCAGTTCATCTACCCCAGCCCAGCTGGGAGGTTAAAGGGATCATGTTCCCAAGGAGAGGAGAGTGCTCAGGTGGCCCCAGGTTGGCTCCTTGCTGCAGCCCCGGGTCCTTGGAATGCTGGGAAGCAGCAGAGCTGAGCCTCCACACGGGCACAGGGGAGAAAATTCTGGAGGGCCAAACCAGAGCATTCCTGAGAGCAGCTGAGCCCAAATGAGGTAAATGGGAATGAAGAGTTCAGGATTTTCTGCCCAGGATCTGAAAGCTCTTTTGAAGGAGCAATGTAGGAAGTTTGATGAGAAGCAGAGAATTCCTTGGATGTTTTTGGTGTCACGTTGAGCCCAAGGCACTGCGGGGGCTCTGGGTCTCCCCTCAGACCTCCCTGCCTGGAACTTCTCATCCCAACGAGCACCTCCGGGGCTTTCCCATCGCCCCTCAGCCATGGGTGCCCTTCCCGGGGTGCAGGGATGGGCCCGTGCCCAGCCCCCAGGAATGGCTGGGGGGCTCCCATTTCCCAGGGCTCCCAGTTCCTGGGGCTCCCAGTTCCTGGGGCTCCCAATTCCCGTGGCTCCCAGTTCCCATCTCTTCCAGTTCCCATCTCTCCCAGTTCCCATGGCTCCCAGTTCCTGTGGCTCCCAGTTCCCATGGCTCCCAGTTCCCATGGCTCCCAGTTCCTGTGGCTCCCAGTTCCCATGGCTCCCAGTTCCTGGGGCTCCCAGTTCCTTTGGCTCCCAGTTCCTTTGGCTCCCAGTTCCCATCTCTCCCAGTTCCCATGGCTCCCAGTTCCCGGGGCTCCCAGTTCCTTTGGCTCCCAGTTCCCAGGGCTCCCAGTTCTCATCTCTCCCAGTTCCTTTGGCTCCCAGTTCCCATGGCTCCCAGTTCCCAGAGCTCCCACTTCCCTTGGTCCCCAATTCCCAGAGCTCCCAGTTCCCATGGCTCCCAGTTCCCATGGCTCCCAGTTCCCAGAGCTCCCAGTTCCCATGGCTCCCAGTTCCCATCTCTCCCAGTTCCCAGGGCTCCCAGTTCCCATGGCTCCCAGTTCCCATCTCTCCCAGTTCCCATGGCTCCCAGTTCCCATCTCTCCCAGTTCCCAGGGCTCCCAGTTCCTTTGGCTCCCAGTTCCCAGGGCTCCCAGTTCCCATCTCTCCCAGTTCCCAGGGCTCCCAGTTCCTTTGGCTCCCAGTTCCCAGGGCTCCCAGTTCCCATCTCTCCCAGTTCCCAGGGCTCCCAGTTCCCATGGCTCCCAGTTCCTGTGGCTCCCAGTTCCTGTGGCTCCCAGTTCCTGGGGCTCTCAGTTCCCATGGCTCCCAGTTCCCGTGGCTCCCAGTGCCCATGGCTCCCAGTTCCTGGGGCTCCCAGTTCCTGGGGCTCCCAGTTCCTGGGGCTCCCAGTTCCCGGGGCTCCCAGTTCCCGTGGCTCCCAGTTCCCATCTCTCCCAGTTCCCATCTCTCCCAGTTCCCATGGCTCCCAGTTCCCATCTCTCCCAGTTCCCATCTCTCCCAGTTCCAATGGCTCCCAGTTCCCATCTCTCCCAGTTCCTGGGGCTCCCAGTTCCCGTGGCTCCCATTTCCCATGGCTCCCAGTGCCCATCTCTCCCAGTTCCCATCTCTCCCAGTTCCTGGGGCTCCCAGTTCCCATCTCTCCCAGTTCCCATGGCTCCCAGTGCCCATCTCTCCCAGTTCCCATCTCTCCCAGTTCCTGGGGCTCCCAGTTCCTGACCCCTTTCCCAGAGCCCATCCGTGCCAGTTTCTCATCCAGGGCAGTTTCTGCGATGCTTTTACTCATCTCTCTCTCTCTCTTTGCCCCTGTCTGTGCAGCTCTCTGTGAACAGCAAACCCCCCAGCTCTGAGGGGCAGGGGGACAAGAAGGACAATGCCACAGCCCCCCCAGCTCCCCCGTCCTACGAGGAGGCCACGGCGGGGGAAGGGATCAAAGCCGGGGCTTTTCCTGCCCCGCCCGCGGCCCCGCTCCACCCCAGCTGGGCGTACGTGGATCCCAGTAAGTCCTTCCATGGATGGGCTGAGTGAGCCCTGGGAGAGGGGCAGAGATCCCCCAGCATGGAGAGGAGAGGGGGAACCAGGATAAGAGGAGCAGCAGGGATGAGAAGGGAACCAGGATAAGAGGGGGAGCAGGGATGAGAGCAGGACCAGGGATGTGTTGCTCAGTTTGGCCCAGGGCAGAGCTGCAGCCATGAGCTGTGAGCCTCTGTCTGCACAGCAGAGTCTCCATCTATGTGTAAAATCTCCATCTACACATGAAACTCTCCATCTGCAGATAAAAGTCCATATCTGTGAATAAAAGCCATTGCAGCCATCCCAGAGACCTCACGAGGGAGTAAACTCCTTCCCAGTGGGAGAAATCCCCATTCCCAGCTCGCTGCCCTGGGAGATCCCAGCTCCTGGGGCTGGAGAAAAGTCCTGGATCAGCTGCAGGGATCCCCCCACCCCCTCCTGCAGCTCCTGCTCAGCCCCAGCTCTCAGAGCAGCTGAGGTGGCACAATTGGTGTCACAAGTGGTGTCACAGCCCCCAGTGTGGCTGTTGGCAGCTGCTGGCAGAGCCAGGGAGGCTGGGACACGGCTGGGGCCAAAGGCTGGATTGTTCCAGCATCCTCGTGGCCATTCCTGGGCAAACCAGCAATTTTTCCAACACCCAGAAGCTCCCTGGAGCTGCTGCTGGGCTGTAGCAAAGGACAGAGCCCTGGCTGTGCCCAGGGAATGGCTGCAGGCTTGGAACTGGGGATGGAGCCTGGGAGGTGACCCTGGGGGTGGCCAAGTGCTCACTCAGCACAGTTCCAGCCAGAGAAAACACTGGGATTATGGGATTTAGGGACTCCTGAGCTCTTGGCCTGCTCCATCCTTTGCTGCCTGTTCTGTCCAGCTGCAGGGATGGGATGCTTGGGGAAGGGGAAGGAGTGAAAACCTCCCCTGCTGTGTCTGTGCTGCACATTCTGATGGTTCCTCAGCCTTTGCCCTGAGGAACAGGATAAATCCCCCAGGTGCCTCTGGGCATCATCTGGATTTTTCTGCTGTTGCAATGAATTAGGGGGGGTGAGGCCTAAATGGGGTGGGATGGGGTATTTGGGCTTTAGGGGTGGGATGGGGTATTTGGGGTTTAGGGGTGGGATGGGGTATTTGGGGCTTAGAAGGTGGGCTGGGGTATTTGGGGTTTATGGAGTGGGATGGGGTATTTGGGGTTTATGGGGTGGGATGGGGTGTTTGAGGTTTAGGGGGTGGGATGGGGTGTTTGGGGTTTAGGGGTGGGCTGGGGTATTTGGGGTTTATGGGGTGGGATGGGGTGTTTGAGGTTTAGGGGGTGGGATGGGGTATTGGGGTTTAGGGGGTGGGATGGGGTATTTGAGGTTTAGGGGTGGGATGGGGTGTTTGGGGTCTCCAGGTGGGAAGCCAAACCCACTCTATGGGATGTCTCACACCTGACTGGGAGCACCTGGAGAGAAGGGATGTGGGTTTGGGGCTGTTTCTGTGACCATGAAGTCAGGACACACCGTCCTGCTGTGGCCTTGGACGGGGGGACACCAGGAGGGAGGAGGATGGAACCTTCTGGATGCTGGCAGGGAGGGAGGGAGGGGGGTAAAACCCTTCAGTTCCTCAGGGCACTGAAGTGCCAGCTGGGGGTTTAGGGGCCAGCTGGGGGTTTAGGGGCCAATTTGGTGTTTAGGGGCCAATTTGGTTTTAGAGAACAATTTGGTGTTTAGGGGCCAGTTGGGTGTTTAGAGGCCAATTTGGTGTTTAGGGGCTTTGGGTGTTTAGAGGCCAGTTGGGTGTTTAGAGGCCAGCTGGGGGTTTAGAGGCCAGTTGGGTGTTTAGGGGCCAATTTGGTGTTTAGGGGCTGGGATTGCTTTGGTGCAGGAGGCCTCGAATTCCCAGGAATTCTCCCTGCCCAGGTACTCTGGGGTTGATGTGGGATCCAGGAGAACACACAGCAGGTTCAGCTCCACTGGGGCAGGAAGGAAGGACCAAGGGATTTACTGACAACAGAACAGCACCAGGGACTTATTTCTTGATGGGAGCACCTAAGTGAGAGTCCTGCATTTTGAATGAGCGACTTTAACCAGGAAAACAGGAGAAAATCAGGATCAGGACCTTGAATTTGGCTCTCCCGGAGTCTGCTCTGAGATTGAGAGGGTCTTTGCTCCATCTCCTGAAGGATTTTGGTATCCCTGAGCTCAGAAGCTTTAGGAGGAGGGGAGGTGTCTGTGGACCAGGCAGGGACAGGAATGTAAAGCAGGAAAATCACACAAAAATCCTTCTGTGAAACCCAGCAGGGGAGACTTCAGTGACACAGGAGGGAAGCACAGAGGGCACAGAATGGTCATGGAGTCATGGAATGGTTTGGGTGGGATGGGACCTTTAAGCCCATCCAGTGCCACCCCTGCCATGGCAGGGACACCTCCCACTGTCCCAGGCTGCTCCAAGCCCTGTCCAGCCTGGCCTGGGACACTGCCAGGGATGGGGAAAGGAAAACCAGCAACAGCAGCTTCTGTTCCAGTTTTGGCCCAGCAGAGGTGACTTGTGTGGGGATTTGAGGGTTTGGGGGAAGGTTTTTTTCACTGGTAGCATTGGAGCTGTTTCCTCCCTTTTCAGGCTCGGTGCTTAACTGTTTCCTGAGTCCCTGCATGGAAATGGGGCTGAGGGATGGAGCTCAGGGAGCTGCCAGGAGCTGCTCTCAGAGCAGGGACGTTGTTGACAAAGCCAGGATGCAAACACAGCTCAGGAGAGCAGCGAGAGACTCCTCCTGCTCCCTGGGAATGCTGAGTCACAGCTGCTCCCCTGGGAATGCTGAGCACAGCTGCTCTGGGGGTGCTTTAGCATCCAGTGAAAGGAGAGCAAGGGATGATCCCTGCCCTCCCATTGCTGTGGAAGGTTTGGTGTTTGCTCAGACAAGGACTCAGCCTGGTGTTGGGATGGTTTGTGGGAATGTTCCCCCTCTGCTCCCAGGGATGGTCCCAAGGAGCAGCAGGAGTGGGAAGGGAGCAGAGGAACTTTTGTGTTTGCTGGGAAATGTCCCAACGAAGGCAGGAATGATGAATCTGACTCCATGTTCTCAGAAGGCTAATTTATTACTTTATTATACTATAGTATATTAAAGAATACTATACTTTAATATAATATGTAATATACTAAAGAATAATATCTTTAACATTCTTTAATATTAATATTCTTTAATATATTATATTAAAGAATACTATACTTTAATATAATATATACTAAAGAATAATGTATTTAATGTTCTTTAATATTATTATTCTTATATTAATATTTTTAATATATTATATTAAAGAATACTATACTTATAATATATAGATCTATTTAATACACTATATAATATAACTATGCTAAAGAATACAGAAAGGATACTTAATAAATGCTAAAAAGATTATAATGAAAACTCGTGACTCTTTCCAGAGCCCTGACACAGCTTGGCCCTGATTGGCCAAAGAGTCAAAACAATTCACATTAAACCAATGAAACAATCACCTGTGGGTAAACAATCTCCAAACACATTGCACATGAGCAAAACACAGGAGAAGCAGATGAGATAAAATTGTTTTCCTTTTCTCTGAAGCTCCTCAGCTTCCCAGGAGAACAATCATGGGCAAAGGGATTTTTTCAGAGAATGTGAATGGCACAAGGAACCTCTGGGGATTTGGGGCACCAGATTGAGCTGTGATGGCTCCCTGGGCTCAGGTCCCAAGGCTGGGGTGGATTTGGGATGTGATCACAAGGAACCTCTGGGGATTTGGGGCACCAGACTGAGCCTTGATGGCTCCCTGGGCTCAGGTCCCAAAGCTGGGGTGGATTTGGGATTTGGCCACAAGGAACCTCTGGGGATTTGGGGCACCAGACTGAGCCGTGATGGCTCCCTGGGCTCAGGTCCCAAGGCTGGGGTGGATTTGGGATTTGATCACAAGGAACCTCTGGGGATTTGGGGCACCAGACTGAGCTGTGATGGCTCCCTGGGCTCAGGTCCCACAGCTGGGGGGGTTTGGGTGGCAGCTGCTCCTTTGGCCTCTCTGCAGGCACCAGCCCCAGCTACGGCAGCGCGGGGTACCCGGGGGACACGGAGCTGCTCACCACCTTCAGCTGGGACGACCGCAACGTGCGCAGGGTGTTCATCAGGAAGGTGAGGCTGGGACACAGCCCTCACCCTCGGGGCTGGCAGAGCTGGACCCCCGGCCCCTGGAGGGCCTGGCTCTGCTGGATTCTGGGATCCATGGATCACCACCTCTCCCTGCAGGTTTACGCCATCCTGATGGTCCAGCTCCTGGTCACCGTTGTCATCGTGGCTTTCTTCACCTTCTGGTGGGTGCTGGGTGTGTCCTGGGCCACCTGGGAGTGGGTTCTGGGCAGGTTCCTGGGGCTTGTGTCACACCTGGATTCTTTCTGAGTGTTCCAAGAGAAAAGCAGAGCTGAGGGAACACTCAGAGGTCCCTCAGTCCTTTTTGCCCCCATTCCCACCCACGCTCAGGTTTGGATCCCCCATGCTGGATGATCCCCATGGCCGCTGCCCTTGGCAGTGGCTGCTGGGTTTTCCCTGTGGGAGTTACCAGATCCCAGCTCCGGGAGCTGCCTTCCCTGCCCTGCTCATCCCCCTCTCCAGCTCGGATGACCGAGCGCTCTGGGTGTGTGTGGCTCATGTTGCCTCCAGAATAAATAATGGATCAGTGCCAGCCTGAGGATTTGGGCTCCCTAATCCCCTGTGGGAGCCATTCCCAGCCAGCTGCGGTGTGGAGCTGGGGGAGCAGCGCCTCCCTTCCCACCTGGCAGCTGGAATTCCTCTCCACAGGCTCAGGCTGCTGAGAGGATTCGCCCAGGGCTGGGTTTCGAATCCCCTGCTCGGGCTGTTCCTGGGTTCATTGAGCAGGGAGCTCGGAGGGACTGGGTTCATCCTGCTCAGGATCTTTCCTTGTCTTGCAGTGAACCAGTCAAGGGCTACATCCAGACCCACTCTGCCTGGTACTGGGCTTCCTAGTGAGTATCCCTGGCTTTTCCTGTGGCCTTGTGTGCTCCAGACAGCCTGGGTGGGGATGTGGGCATGTGGGAAGAGCCTGCAACACTTTCCAAACACTGTCCTGCATGTGAAGCATCACTCTAAAGTGTCCAGGGGCAACTGGGGAAGGTCATGGAATGGGTTGGGTTGGGTTGGTTGGGTTGGGTTGGGTTGGGAGGGACCTCAAAGCCCATCCAGTGCCAGCCCTGCTGTGGCAGGGACCCCTCCCACCATCCCAGGCTGGGCAGGGACCCCTCCCTCCATCCCAGCTGCTCCCAGCCCCACTGTCCAGCCTGGCCTTGGGCACTGCCAGGGACCCAGGGGCAGCCCCAGCTGCTCTGGGCACCAATCCATGGGTGAGCCTGAGGTGAGCAGGTGGAAAATCTCACCTGAATGAGCAAGAGATCCCAAACACCTCCCCAAAAATGGCTCGAGAAACCAGGGTCGAAATAAATCCTTGAGTATTTCCTGCAGAAAGCCAGAGAGAACTGGGGAGTTTCCAGGGAAACAGAAACTCCTAATGAGACCTGGAGGGATGTCCAGGGTACCTTAGAGGGTTGATTTTGGGAAGGTCCCCTGGGAAGCTCCAGATGCCTCCTTGCAGAGCATTCAGGAAAACACTGCAGAGCCCCATGTCTGACACCTGGAAGGATGTTCAGGGCACCGTGGAGGCTGAACTTTGGGGTTTCCCCTTGGAAGCCAGGTGGTTGTCATGGTTTCCATTACATAATATCCAGTGGGGTGGATTTGGAGGTGTTGGGATGTTCCTGGCCATGTCTGGGTGGGGCTGTCACTCCTGGGGCTCCATCCCAGAGCCCCAAAGTTGGGATTCTGTTCCTTGGTTCCTCCAGCCAGCCCAGAATGGAGCTCCCAGGTGCTGGCATCTCCTGGCTCCGTGGTTTCCAGGCTGCTGGCAGGGTCAGTGCTGCTCATTCAGTGTGAGGTGAACTCAGCTTTAATCAGTTCACACCCAAATCAGCAGATGAGACACCGGCTTATGTAACCTGGGAGAACCCCACAAACAGCAGCCATGGGAGCTCTGGGGCACCAGGAGGGAACCAGAGGTGCTCCAGGGGGCAGCTGGGCTTGGAGAGGCACTGTCACCTCCCAGGGGACAGGGGGAGGAGGCTCAGCCCTGCTCAGGTCCCCGCCTTGGCCTCTGGGGTCACCTCTCCAGCTCCCTGCCCAGATGGGGTTTATTCCCTCCTGTTTCCCAGCTGGAACACCCTGGGACAGCTGGGGGGGTTCTGTCCTGGAGGAGTTTCCCCCCTGGTCATTGTCCCCCTGTGCCCAGGTCAGACCCCACCTGCAGAGCTGCCCCAGCCCTGGGCTCCCGCACAGGGAGGATGAGGAGAGAGCCCAGAGGGGGCCCCGGAGCTGCTCCAGGGCTGGAGCCCCTCTGGAGCCAGGCTGGGAGAGCTGGGGGTGCTCACCTCACTGCAGGGAGAGCTCAGAGCCCCTGCCAGGGCCCAAAGGGGCTCCAGGAGAGCTGGAGAGGGGCTGGGGACAAGGGATGGAGGGACAGGACACAGGGAATGGCTTCCAGAGAGCAGGGATGGATGGGACATTGGGCAGGAATTGTTCCCTGGGAGGGTGGGGAGGCCCTGGCATGGATTTCCCAGAGCAGCTGAGGCAGCCCCTGGATCCCTGGCAGTGCCCAAGGCCAGGTTGGACAGGGCTTGGAGCAACCTGGGACAGTGGGAGGTGTCCCTGCCATGGCAGGGATGGGATGGGATGGGATGGGATGGGATGGGATGGGATGGGATGGGATGGGATGGGATGGATTTTAAGCTCCCTTCCCACCCAGGCCATTCCATGCCTTTAATTTTGTCTGTTTTTTCACTGCTCAGTGAGCCAAGCCCTTCCCTTCATTCCAGCGTCTCCAAATGTTTTTCCTGCTCTGTGCCTGGGTCTCCTTCCCAACCAGAGACCTCTGTAATAAAACCTGGGAGCCCCAGGATGTTTCCCACCGCTGGGATGGCCCTTCAGTGGAATAAACCCAGAGCAGACAGGGGATGGGGGGCCCTGCTGGCTCTGTGCTCCCCACAGTCTCTTCCCAGCTGCTCAGCCGTGTCCAGGCTGCTCCCACTGGGCTTTCCTGGTTTCCCAGTGGGAGAGCTGGGCCTGGGTTTATCTCTGTGCCCTCGTGGCCCTGGGCTCTGCCATCACCTCCCTGCCCTGGCCGAGGGTCAGTGGCTATCGGGAGCCATCGGCACGCCCGGCACTGCTGCCCTGGGGGGAGCAGCTCCCAGAGCCTGGAAAAACACCCAGCTGTGGGCAGGAGAGCCTCCTGCAGCTCTGGGGCTGCTGGGCTTGCACAGGCTCAAATGCTGGGAGGTAAAACCTAAAACCTGCCAGGACCTGGGTGGGGCTGGGCAGCCACTGCACCTTGGGCTCCTCTGAGCCAGGAGGATCCTCCTGGCCTGGGCTTGTCCCTGAGCCGTGTTCTGAATGGATCCTCCTGCCCTGGGCCCTTCCCTGAGCTCTATTCTGAATGGATCCTCCTGCCCTGAGCCCTGTTCTGAATGGATCCTCCTGGCCTGGGCTTGTCCCTGAGCCCTGTTCTGAATGGATCCTCCTGGCCTGGGCTTGTTCCTGAGCCCTGTTCTGAATGGATCCTCCTGCCCTGAGCCCTTTTCTGAATGGATCCTCCTGCCCTGAGCTCTGTTCTGAATGGATCCTCCTGCCCTGGGCCCTTCCCTGAGCCCTGTTCTGAATGGATCCTCCTGGCCTGGGCTTGGCCCTGAGCCCTGTTCTGAATGGATCCTCCTGGCCTGGGCTTGGCCCTGAGCCCTGTTCTGAATGGATCCTCCTGGCCTGGGCTTGTCCCTGAGCCTTGTTCTGAATGGATCCTCCTGCCCTGAGCCCTTCCATGAGCCCTGTTCTGAATGGATCCTCCTGCCCTGGGCTTGGCCCTGAGCCCTGTTCTGAATGGATCCTCCTGCCCTGAGCCCTGTTCTGAATGGATCCTCCTGCCCTGGGCTTGTTCCTGAGCCCTGTTCTGAATGAATCCTCCTGCCCTGAGCCCTGTTCTGAATGGATCCTCCTGGCCTGGGCTTGTCCCTGAGCCTTGTTCTGAATGGATCCTCCTGCCCTGAGCCCTTCCATGAGCCCTGTTCTGAATGGATCCTCCTGCCCTGGGCTTGGCCCTGAGCCCTGTTCTGAATGGATCCTCCTGGCCTGGGCTTGTTCCTGAGCCCTGTTCTGAATGGATCCTCCTGGCCTGGGCTTGTTCCTGAGCCCTGTTCTGAATGGATCCTCCTGCCCTGGGCCCTGTTCTGAATGGATCCTCCTGCCCTGAGCCCTGTTCTGAATGGATCCTCCTGGCCTGGGCTTGGCCCTGAGCCCTTTTCTGAATGGATCCTCCTGCCCTGAGCCCTTCCCTGAGCCCTGTTCTGAATGGATCCTCCTGCCCTGAGCCCTGTTCTGAATGGATCCTCCTGCCCTGAGCCCTTTCCTGAATGGATCCTCCTGCCCTGAGCCCTTTTCTGAATGGATCCTCCTGCCCTGGGCTTGTTCCTGAGCCCTGTTCTGAATGGATCCTCCTGGCCTGAGCCCTTCCCTGCCCTGGGCTCTTCCTCAAGCTCTCCAGGAGTGGAATCCAGGAATGGGTTGGGTTGGAGGAACCCTCAAGTCCACCCAGTGCCACCCCTGCCATGGGCAGGGACACTTTCCACTGTCCCAGGTCTCTCCAATCCCTGTCCAGCCTGGCCTTGCACACTTCCAGGAGTGGAAAGCCCAAAAATTCCCATTCCTGGAGGGATGTACCATGGGAGCAGCTCCCTTCTCCAGCACAGCCCTTCCAGCCCTGCCTGAGCCTGGCCACTTTGCCAGCCCTTGGTTTAAGAACCTCCAGCCTTGACACCCCCAGGCTGGAAAGGGTTTGGAAACAAGGGGCAAAGCCTGGCACCTCCATGTGAGAAACTCCCAGAACCAAGGAATCCTGGAATAATGAAGGTGGGAAAAGCCCCTGGAGCCCATGGAGTCCAACCACCAAGCCTCCCCTCACCACTGACCAAGTGTCCTGGGTTGATAAGTGAGTTTTTTGGGAGGTTGTGGTGAAACCAATCAGTGCTCAGATCTGAATGTCCCCCAGTGCCACTTCCAAAAGCTTTTGGACACTTCCAAGGATGGGATTCCAGCACTGCCTGGCAGCCCCTCCCAATGCCCGACCTCCCTTTCCATGAGGGAACATTTCCTCAGAGCCAACACAAACCCAGTTCTGCCCTGTTTGTCATTCACACATTTGGGTGCTCTGCTCCAGATCCTGCCCTCAGCTTCTCCAGGGGTGTTTTGTCCCACCCTGGGGACGGGCACAGGCAGAGGAGGCTCCTGAGGGCAGGAAGGAGCTCAGTGAGAGGGACCAGGGGTGGGAACCACCCTGATCCAGCCTGCTGGGTGTTTGCATTTCCAACATCCCCATCCCAGGCTGCTTTTCCAGGCAATTCCATCCCAGGGAATTCCACCATGCCTGGCTGGTTTTCCAGGCAATTCCATCCCAGGGAATTCCACCATGCCTGTCTGCTTTTCCAGGGAATTCCATCCCAGGCTGGTTTTCCAGGCAATTCCATCCCAGGCTTCTTTTCCAGGGAATTTCACCCCAGGGAATTCCCCCCTGCTCCCCCCTCCCAGGCTGTTTTTCCCCCCTGAACTCTCCCTTTCTCTCTCTCTCTCCTTGCAGCGCCGTTTTCTTCGTCACCTACCTGATCCTGGCCTGCTGCTCCGGGCCCAGGTGAGGAGGGGATGCTCTGGGGTCTGGGACAGCCTGGGGAAGGCAGCAGGAATGTTTTCCTCAGGTTTCCAGCCCTGCTGTGGGGCAGGGATGCAGCTGCTGTGTTTCCATGGGATCATGGAATGGTTTGGGTTGGAAAGGGCCTTAAATCCCACCCAGTGCCATGGCAGGGACACCTCCCACTGTCCCAGGCTGCTCCCAGTCCCATCCAACCTGGCCTTGGGCACTGCCAGGGATCCAGGGGCAGCCCCAGCTGTTCCAGATGCTGGAAACAGCTGTTCCAGGCCTGGGGTTGCTGCAGCTCAGGAGTCCAATTGCAGCTGGGACTTCCAGCAGGAACTGCCCTATGGCAATGCTGTGAGGGCCCCAACAAAGGAGGAATGATGCACCTGACTCCATGGGTAGCAGGAGGCTAATTAATCACTTTATTATACTGTCCTATATCTATTTCATCTAAACTGAATCTGCCAAGCACTCACTCTGCACACCCTGCACAGAATCTTGTGACTGTCACAGTCACACACACACACCTGGCCCTGGTAGGCCAAGGAAACCAAACATCCTCACTTTGGGTAAACAATCCCCATGTTGCATTCTACACAGGCACAGCAGGTGAGAGGAGTTGTGTTTTCCCTTTCTCTGAGGTTCAGAGAATGTGAATCTCAGAAATCCTTGGGAAGAATTGTGTCTTGCTTTTCTCTGTGAAGAGAAATGTGGCAGCACCGCCCCATTTGCAGCTCTGGGTTCTGGGAATTAAACATTCCAGAGGATGCTCTTGCTGGGTTCTGGGAATGAAACATTCCAGAGGATGCTCTTGCTGGGTTCTGGGAATGAAACATTCCAGAGGATGCTCTTGCTGGGTTCTGGGAATGAAACATTCCAGAGGATGCTCTTGCTGGGTTCTGGGAATGAAACATTCCAGAGGATGCTCTTGCTGGGTTCTGGGAATTAAACATTCCAGAGGATGCTCTTGCCAGCTGCCAGGGGAGCAGGAATGTCCCGGGGGTCTCTGTCCTGGGGCTCCCAGCAGGGTGACTGTGCCCTGCACTGCCCCAGCACTGGTGCACAGGGCACTAATTACCAGCATGGCCATTAATTACCCAGCAGGGTCATTAATTAATGACCATTAATTACCCTCACAGTCCCTAATAACCCTCATGGTCAGGGATTCTCTGGCACAGCCCTGGCTGACTGACCCTGTTTGCTTTGCAGGAGATACTTCCCATGGAACCTGATCCTGCTCAGCATCTTTGTGAGTGGCACATCTGGCCAACATCTGCCCTGGGGCCAGAGTGGCTCCCAGGACAAGGCTGGAATTCCTGGGGAAAAGTGGGAATTTCATCCCCTTCTTGTCCTGGGCTTGGGCTGAGGAGCTGTGGTTGCACTGGGATGGGAAAAGGTGGAAAGAAAGGGAGCCTCTGTTTGTTAAAAAATTACAAAAAATAATCTGTGAAGTGTGGTGGGAACTGGGATTGGAGCTGGGGGGAGAACTGGGATGGGAACCGGGATGGGAACTGGGATGTGGGATGGGAACTGGGATGTGGGATGGGAACCGGGATGGGAACTGGGATGTGGGATGGGAACTGGGATGTGGGATGGGAACTGGGATGGGAACCGGGATGGGAACTGGGATGGGAACTGGGATGTGGGATGGGAGCTGGGATGTGGGATGGGAACCGGGATGGGAACCGGGATGGGAGCTGGGATGGGAACTGGGATGGGAACTGGGATGGGAGCTGGGATGGGAGCTGGGATGGGAACTGGGATAAGAACTGGGATGGGGACTGGGATGGGAACTGGGATGAGAACTGGGATGGGAACCGGGATAAGAACTGGGATGGGAACCGGGATAAGAACTGGGATGGGAACTGGGATGGGAGCTGGGATGGGAGCTGGGATGGGAACTGGGATAAGAACTGGGATGGGGACTGGGATGGGAACTGGGATGAGAACTGGGATGTGGGATGGGAGCTGGGATGGGAGCTGGGATGGGAGCTGGGATGGGAGCTGGGATGGGAACTGGGATAAGAACTGGGATGGGAACCGGGATGGGAACTGGGATGGGAACTGGGATGTGGGATGGGAACCGGGATGGGAACTGGGATGGGAACTGGGATGTGGGATGGGAGCTGGGATGGGAGCTGGAATTGGAGCTGGGGTGGGACTGGAGTGTGGAACAGGAGCTGAGATGGGAGCTGGGGTGTGGAACGGGAGCTGGGATGGGAGCTGGAATTGGAGCTGGGGTGGAACTGGAGTGTGGAACAGGAGCTGGGATGGGAACTGGAGTGTGGAACGGGAGCTGGGATGGGAGCTGGGATGGGAGCTGGAGTGTGGAGCTGGAGCATGGAACAGGAGCTGGGATGGGAGCTGGAGCGTGGAACGGGAGCTGGGATGGGAGCTGGAGTGTGGAACAGGAGCTGGAATTGGAGCTGGGGTGGGAACTGGAGTGTGGAACGGGAGCTGGGATGGGAGCTGGCTCCTGCGAGGGAGGGATGCAGGAGCAGCGACTCCTCCCATGCTGTTTGCCCTCCCTCTGCCCTCTCCTGTGCCCATCAGTCCCTGGAGGGTTCCAAACGCTGCCCCAGCTCCTTCTCCTGAGAGTCTGGGCCTCCCCTGCCCCTTTCTCTGGGACTGAGGGATTTCCTGTGGTGCCTGCTCGGGGCAGGGGGGCACTAACCAGGCTGTGTTTTCCCCCAGACCCTGTCCATGGCCTATCTCACTGCCATGCTCTCCAGGTGGGTTGGGCACTGCCCTGTGTCCTGTCTCTTCCTGAAAGCATTCCCTGTTCCTGAGGTACCTGAGCTGCCTGGGGCTCCCAGCAGCCACACAAAGCTGGAGCTTCCCTGGGGAAACTTCCCAAGGAAAGGTTCCCAAGGCCTGTCCCTGTGCCAAGGGAGGATTCCCACATCCCAAATCCTGCAGGAGAGCCCTGGAGGGGCAGCACCTGGAGGGGCTGGAGGTGACCACTCAGTGATCCCACACTTCTCACTGGGCAGGTCTCAGGCAGGTGGGGCTGCAGCGAGCCAAGGGATTGTTCCAGCAGTTTCAGGAATTTGTATCCCAGCCTGTTCCCTTCTGCTCACGTGCACCAGGAAATCTGAAATCTGCTCCTGGCTCGTGTGGGAGCCTGGAGAGAGGGCCATGAGCCAGGCTGGGTGATGGATGGGGACAAAGAAATCCCTGGCCTCAGCAGCTCCAGGGGGAAAACTCCAGAGGCTCCACACAAATCCCCAGGGAGAGCAGGACTGGCTTTTCCAAGGGCTGAGCCTGGCACTGCGGCCAAAATCCTGATCCAGCCTGGAAACCATTCCTGAGCCTGCAGCCCCCTGTCCCTGCTCCAACCCCTCCTTTTCCTAACACCAGGCTGGGCAGGAGCCCGGGGCTGCTCCTCTGCTTTCCCCTCATGCTGTGGGGACTTTGGTCACCCTGGTTTTGTTACCTCCCAGTCAGGACCTTCCCCATTCCCTGTCTGTCCGTGGACACTGGGATTGATGGACTTGGAGCTGCTCTGGGAGGCCCAGATGGACCCTCCTGCCTTCCCTCCATCCTTCAAAACAGCAGGAAAACTGTGACGGTGTTCACAGGGGTTCTTGGATTGGGGAAGAGATGAGGATCTGACTCCATCTTTGATTTATTACTTTATGATATATATTACACTAAAACTGTACTAAAAGAATAGAAGAAAAGGTTTTATCAGAAGGCTGGCTAAGAATAGAATTGCAAAGAATGATAACAAAGGCTTGTGGCTCGGGCTCTGTGTCTGAGCCAGCTGGGTTGTGATTGGCCATTAATTAGAAACAACCACACGAGACCAATCCCAGACCCACCTGTTGCATTCCACAGCAGCAGATAATCAATGTTTGCATTGTGTTCCTGTTGCATTCCACAGCAGCAGATAACCATTGTTTGCATTGTGTTCCTGAGGCCTCTCAGCTTCTCAGGAGGAAAAATCCTAAGGAAAGGGTTTTCCATAAAAGATGTCAGTGACAGAAAACCCATCCAAGCTTTTTTCTATCCTTCCTTATCCAACATTAGTGTGGAGTGTTGGGAATTCCAGCGCTGTTTGTGCCCCTAGGATTCCTTGCCCAGCACCTGCCTGTCCAAATCCCCTTTCCCATCCCTGGGAATGACCCTAATTTGATTTTTCTGGTCATTTTGCAGCTACTACAACACCAAGTCGGTGCTGCTGTGCCTGGGGATCACGGCCCTGGTCTGTCTGTCTGTCACCATCTTCAGCTTCCAGAGCAAGGTGGGGACATCCCTCGGGAAGGGGACACTGGGGCAGGACAGGGGGGAACTGGGGGTGTCTGGAAACAGCAGCAGCCCCAGGGATGTGGGGATGGCACGAGGAGGTCGGAGGGGATCAGGACACGTGCGAGGGAGGGACGCGGCTGGGATGGAAGTGGGGCTAGAAAATGGTGATAAATGGGAATAAAATGAGATTTTTTTGTGGATTGGGGGCTAGAAGATGCTGATATGTGGGAAAAAAAAGATTTTTTGTAGATTGGGGTGAGGGCTAGAAGATGCTGATAAATGGGAATAAAATGAGATTTTTTAATGGATTGGGATGGGGGCTAGAGGTTGCTGATATATGGGAATAAAATGAGATTTTTTTGTAGATTGGGGTGGGGGCTTGAAGATGGTGATAAATGGGAATAAAATGTGATTTTTTTGTGGATTAGGGGCTAGAAGATGCTGATATATGGGAATAAAATGAGATCTTTTTTAATGGATTGGGGTGGGGGCTAGAAGATGCTGATAAATGGGAATAAAATGATATTTTTTTAATGGATGGAGATGGGGGCTAGAAGATAGTGATTTATAGGAATAAAATGAGATTTTTTTGTGGATTGAGGTAAGGGCTAGAATATGGTCATATATGGGAATTAAATTAGGTTTTTTTGTGGATTAGAGTGGGGGCTAGAAGATGCTGATACACTTGAATAAAATGAGATTTTTTTGTAGGTTGGGGTGAGGGCTAGAATATGCTGATATATGGGAATAAAATGAGATTTTTTGTGGATTGGGGGCTTGAAGATGCTGATTTATAGGAATAAAATGAGATTTTTTTATTGGGGTGGGGGCTAGAAGATGCTGATTTTTTGTGGATTGGGGGCTAGAAGAAGGTGATATATGGGAATAAAATGAGATTTTTTTGTGGATTGGGGGCTTGAAGATGCTGATTTATAGAAATAAAATGAGATTTTTTTTATTGGGGTGGGGGCAAGAAGATGCTGATTTTTTGTGGATTGGGGGCTAGAAGAAGGTGATATATGGGAATAAAATGAGATTTTTTTGTGGATTGGGGGCTTGAAGATGCTGATTTATAGAAATAAAATGAGATTTTGTTATAGATTGGGGTGAGGGCTAGAAGATGGTGATAAATGGGAATAAAATGGGATTTTTTTTGTGTGGGATTTTGGGGTGTGCCACAGGTGCACGTGGTACTGGAAGACGCTGATGTGTGGGAATAACCTGGGATTTTTGGAGGGCTGGGATGTGCCAGGGATGTCAGAGGGGCTGGCAGGGGCTGCAGGGTGGTAAACTGGGAGTTTCAGAGGGTTGTGCTGTGGGACACAGGAGGACATGGGGGTGTGGTGGGTTTGGGATTCCTTTGGCGGGACCCGAGCCCTTCCCTGTGGCCCTGAGGGGATTTGGGGGTGCAGGCTCAGGGCAGGGGGTGCGGGCTGGGAGGGAGAGGCAGAACCAGCCCCGGGTGGGTCCCAGTGGGACCTGGGGGCTGCAGCAGCGTCAAACCCAGCACTGAACCACGTCCCTGAAGTACCAAGGTCTGGGGCTCTGAGGTCTTGCAGGGTCCTGGGTTCTGTCAGCCTCAGTTTTGGAGAAATCCAGCAAAAATTGCCAATTCCTAGCTTGGCACCGTATTATTGGCTGTCGTGAACGGCGGAAGAAATGCCTCACACAATATGCGTGAACAGCAAATCTCAAAGTTTATTGAAAGCTCACACATATTTATATTGGTGTTAATGAAGCTTATACATATTGCAAAAGCTGAGCTCATTATTGGTAAAAGCACACTTAGATCAACCACACCTACTTCTATGCTCTAATGATTATTTTGTTTCTATGTTTACATTCTTATAGCTTCTCTACCTAGGCTATCTTCATTTTCTAGCAAGCAATTTTCTCCCCCATCTTCCTGTTTCAGCGAAAGTTACTATAACCTTTGTCAGTGATTGGACACTGGTTACTTAATCCCCAGCTTGTTTCCCCTATCCTTATCCAACAGTATCACATCGAAGTGGCCTTTCTCAGCTAGCCAATTATCCAAAAAGCACTCCACGATTGGCAAGTACGAGTGGCACAAACAGAGGCCATTTTCTATGAGAAAAATAAGTCATTTCCCCAAGGTCTGGGTATCAGATTAAAGGTGGTGTTTGGGGCTCTAAGGATTTGCAGGGTCCTCCTTGATGGCAGCTTTAGTTTTGGAGAAACCCAGCAAAGTTTGCCAGTTTCCAGCTTGGCACTGCCCTGTTGGCCAGGGCGAGTGGCCGCAGAGGGAGACCATTTTCCATGGGAAAAAGAAGTCATTTCCCCAGGATCCTGGGGTCAGATGAAAGGTGACAATTGGGGCTCTAAGGCCTTGCAGGGTCCTAGCTGCTGGCATGTTTAGTTTTGGAGAAATCCAGCAAAGTTTGCAAATTTCTCGCTTGGCACCGTATTATTGGCGAGTACGAGTGGCACAAACAGAGGCCATTTTCCATGGGAAAAAGAAGTCATTTCCCCAGGATCCTGGGATCAGATGAAAGGTGACAATTGGGGCTCTAAGGCCTTGCAGGGTCCTAGCTGCTGGCATGTTTAGTTTTGGAGAAATCCAGCAAAGTTTGCAAATTTCTCGCTTGGCATTGTATTATTGGCAAGGGTGAGTGGCCACAAACAGAGGCCATTTTCTATGAGAAAAAGAAGCCATTTCCCCAAGGTCCGGGTATCAGATTTAAGGTGGTGTTTGGGGCTCTAAGGATTTGCAGGGTCCTTGTTGCTGGCAGCTTTAGTTTTGGAGAAATCCAGCAAAGTTAACAAATTTCTCGCTTGGCACTGTATTATTGGCAAGTGTGAGGGCCGCAAACTGAGGCCATTTTCCATGGGAAAAAGGAAGTAATTTCCCCAGGGTCTGGGTATCAGCTCAGAGGTGGCCTTTAGGGCTCTAAGGACTTGCAGGGTCCTAGTTGCTGTCATCTTTAGTTTTGGAGAAATCCAGCAAAGTTTGCCAGTTTCTACCTTGGCACTGTATTATTGGCAAGGGCGAGGGTCGCAGTTGGAGGCCGTTTTCCAGGGAAAGGGAAATCCTTTCTCAGGGACTGGGATTCAGCTCAGGGGGGCATCTGGGGCTCCCCCCAGTGCAGCCCCTGGAACAGAAACCCCTCCCTGCCCTCTGCAGTTCGACTTCACCTCGTACCAGGGCGTTCTCTTCGTGTTGCTCATGGTGCTGTTCCTGGGGGGGCTGGTCCTGGCTGTCATCCTGCCCTACCAATATGTGAGTGATAACTGGGCCAAACTGGGCCAAACTGGGCGGGCTGGGAGGGTGGGGGGGCAGCTCCCTGACAATGGGTGGGAACTGCAAGGAGGGATGGGAGAGCAGGGTCATTCCCTGGGATGGACCGTGGGATACAAGGATGGAGCTGGCCCAGGGCTGGGGATGTTTCCTGCTGTTCCTGGTGGTGGAATCGTGGAATGATTTTGGTCAGGAGGGACCTCCAAGCCCATCCCATCCCATCCCATCCCATCCCATCCCATCCCATCCCATCCCATCCCATCCCATCCCATCCCATCCGTGACCGTGGTCACAGGGGTCTCAGGTTGAGGGAAGAGATGAGGATCTGACTCCATGTTTCAGAAGGTTTGATTTATTATTTTATGATATATATTATATTAACACTATACTAAAAGAATAGAAGAAAGGATTTCATCAGAAGGCTGGCTAAGAATAGAACAGCAAAGAATGATAACAAAGGCTTCATCTGGGACTCTCTCCGAGCCAGCTGGGCTGTGATTGGCCATTAATTAGAAACAACCACATGGGCCAATCCCAGATGCACCTGTTGCATTCCACAGCAGCAGATAACCATTGTTTGCATTTTGTTCCTGAGGCCTCTCAGCTTCTCAGGAGGAAAAATCCTAAGGAAAGGATTTTCCATAAAAGATGTCTGTGACACATCCCATCCCATCCCACCCCTGCCATGGGCAGGGACACCTCTCACTGTCCCAGGCTGCTCCAACCCGGCCTTGGGCACTGCCAGGGATCCAGGGGCTGCCCCAGCTGCTCTGGGAAATCCATCCCAGGGCCTCCCCACCCTCACAGGGAGGAATTCCTGCCCAATATCCCATCCATCCCTGCCCTCTGGCAGTGAGAAGCCATTCCCTGTGTCCTGTCCCTCCATCCCTTGTCCCTCTCCAGCTCTCCTGGAGCCCCTTTGGGCCCTGGCAGGGGCTCTGAGCTCTCCCTGGACCCTTCTCCTGTCCAGGTGAGCACCCCCAGCTCTCCCAGCCTGGCTCCAGCCCTGGAGCAGCTCCATGGCCCCCCTTTGGACTCATCCCAACATATCCATGCTCCCCCTGTGCTGGGACCCCCCTGGGTGCCAATGGGGTCTCACCTGAGCACAGCTGCCTCAGTTTCCCCTCAGTAAAGCAGGGAAATGAGCACATTAAACTCTGTCCCAAGCCCAGGGCAGGACTTGGACTCAGAACTAACACCCAGCACCTGCAGAGCTCAAATCTTGAGGCCTCCTGGTTCCTCTGGGCACAGCAGGGGCTGAGCTTTGCTCCCAGTTCCAGTGAAATTCCCCCTGTGACTCCCTCTGATGAATATATTTAAATTGTGCTTGTTTAATTTGAATCATGGAGTGTCCTAAGGGGGAAGGGACACACCAGGGTCATCCCCAACTCCTGGCCCTGCCCAGGACATCCCAACAGTCCCCCCTGGTGCCTGGGCACTGTGCAAATGCTCCTGGAGCTCTGGCAGCCCTGGGGAGCTGTTCCAGTGGAGGAAGAACCTTTTCCCAATATCCAACCCAACCTCCCCTGACACAGACCCAGCTGTTCCCTCAGGCCAGTTAAAGCTCTTGGTGTTTCTTCCAGTGGGATCAGCTGTGTTTGGGTAAATAAATCCCTTCTGGGGGTGCTCCAAAGTGTTCTGTGATGAGAGTGCTGGGACTGGGACAGGGGGGCTTCCCATCCCTGGAAGTGCCCAAGGCCAGGTTGGACAGGGCTTGGAGCAGCCTGGGGTAGTGGGATGGGATGGGATGGGATGGGCTTTAAGGTCCCTTCCCACCCAAACCATTCCAGGATCCCATGATTTCCACAGGACAGGTGCTGGGGCCAAGGGCTGTTTGCAATGAGGAGCAGCTGATGGAGAAATTCAGGAGCTAAATGGACCCAAGGGCTCGGGGAGGGAGGGTCCAAGGCCCCGTGCCCTGTGCTGTGCCACACAAACATTCCCAGGGAGCTGCACAAGCTGGAAGGGCTGCAAACCCAGCCTGGGCTTTTGGGGCATCTCCCACCTTTCCCCTCCAGCTGGGAGCCAGGGACCTGGGCAGGGAAGTCCTGGGTAGCCCAGTCTGTGCAGCTCTGACAGCTGTGTCCGTGTGTCCCTGTCCGTGTGTCCATGTCCACGTATCCCTGTCTGTGTCTGTGTGTCCCTGTCCGTGTCCATGTGTCCATGTCTGTGTGTCCGTGTCCATATGTCCGTGTCCGTGTCTGTATGTCCATGTGTCCATGTGTCCCTGCCCATGCGTCCCTGTCCCCCTGTCCCTGTGTCCCTGTGTCCCCGTGTCCCTGTCCCTGTGTCCCCGTGTCCCTGTCCCCGTGTCCTTGTGTCCCTGTCCCCCTGTCCCTGTCCGTGTGTCCTGCAGGTCCCGTGGCTCCACGCGATCTACGCTCTGCTCGGGGCTGGGATCTTCACCATGGTGAGTGGCTGCTCCTGGGACCCGGCGGGGAAAACAGCGGGGAAAGGAGCTGGGGAAAGAGCGGGGAAAGGAGCGGGGAAAGAGCGGGGAAAGGAGCGGGGAAAGAGCGGGGAAAACAGCGGGGAAAGGAGCGGGGAAAACAGCGGGGAAAGGAGCTGGGGCCTGGCGGGGAGCCGGGGCAGGGGCTGAAGCCTCTCAGGGGGCCAGGGAAAGGAGCTGGAGCCAGGGCAGGGATGGAGCCAGGGCAGGGATTGCAGAGCTCGGGAGGCCCCGGAGCAGCGATCCCGGCGGGAGGGGCCGCAGACGTGCCCGTGCCGGTGCCAGTGCCGGTGCCCGTGCTGGTGCCGGTGCTGGTGCCCGTGCCGGTGCTGGTGCCCGTGCCGGTGCTGGTGCCCGTGCCCGTGCCCATGCCAGTGCCGGAGCCCATGGCGGTGCCCGTGCCGGTGCCGGCGCAGGGCAGGGTGTGAGTGCCAAGCTGTGCGGGGTGAGCAGTCCTGGCTGGGTTGCTCTGCAGGGATCAGGGACAGGCCAGAGGTGCCTCTGAAGTGGAGCAGGCAGAGCTGAGCCCGGCAGAGCCCCGGGAGCGAGGGGATGCAGGGATGAGGCTGCACGGTCGAGTCGGGGCTGGTCCAGTGACAGCGAGCCAAGGTTCAGGATGAGTTTGGCTCACAGAGGTGCAGAAAACCAGGGAAGGCTGAGATTGGGGATTAGGAGGCATTAGGAGGGTTTACACAGGCGGGAAAAGCCCCGGAGCTGGGCAGCTCCTCCAAGGAAAGGCTTGGCTTGCTCCCGGTGGTCCATCCCCAGAGCCCCTTCCTGAGCGGGTCCCGGTCCCTGTGCTGGGATCCAGCTGGGGATCAGGTGCCTGTGGAGGTGCCCGGTGCTCCCGGTGCTCCCGGTGCTCCCGGGGCTCAGCCCGGGGCCCGGGGGTGACCGATGCTCCGGGGGCCAGGGCAGTGCCTGCAGAATTCCCGGTGCTCCCGGGGCAGTGCCTGGGGAGGTGCCAGGTGCTCCCAGTGCTCCCGGTGCTCCCGGGGCCAGGGCTCAGCCCGGGGGTGACCGATGCTCCGGGGGCCAGGGCAGTGCCTGCGGAATTCCCGGTGCTCCCGGGGCAGTGCCTGCGGAATTCCCGGTGCTCCCGGGGCAGTGCCTGGGGAGGTGCCAGGTGCTCCCAGTGCTCCCGGTGCTCCCGGGGCCGGGGCTCAGCCCGGGGCTGCCCTGGCTCCGAGGCGGTGCCCATTGGGCACGTTGGGAATGGGAGCAGTTGAGCAATTGCCTTTATCACCCATAAAAGTTACTCCAAGGGAGCGCGGGGAGCTCGGCGCTGATTCATGGCTCAAGATCCCTCTGTAAAATACAAGGAGGCTTCAACATCTCATAATTACCCCATAAACATCAGTCAGAGCCTGGGCCTGGCCCTGCCAGGGCAGCTGGGCTGGGATTTGTTCTGGGAGGATAAAAGAGCATCTCTGGAGGATGGTGCAGCCCTGGAGAGCTCTGGGCCCCTGAGGGGCAGCAGGATGGCAGAAGGAGGAAAGGGAGGGAGGAGAAAATGGTGGATTTCAGTCACACCTGGGATTTCTGGCAGTGCTGCTCCATATCCTGTTGGGGCCAGGCCACCCTGTGACCATCTCCTTCCCTGGCAGGTGTTTCCCACCTGAGGGAAGCGTGGGAATAACAAGTTATGGGCTCTGGGATGAGGAGGGAGGGTGGCTCCAGAGTTGGCCTTGGGATGGAGGAAGCCTGAGGGAAGAGGGCCTGGAGTGGGAGCTGCACTCGGGGTTTGATTGCCAGGGGGGAAATGAGGGAAGGGGAAAGTTGCAGCTCGTTCAGTGCCATGTTCTGAGCTCTTAAATTGTGGCTACAGCACATAAAAAGGGGCTGCACCCCAATCCAGGGGATTTCTCCTGTCATCAGGGCCCTTCTTGCCTCCCTGAGCCAAACCTCCCTGTCACTGTCCTGGGCTTTCCTCCCTTCCCTTCCAGTTCCTGGCCCTGGACACGCAGATGCTGATGGGGAACCGCCGGTACTCGCTGAGCCCCGAGGAATACATCTTTGGAGCCCTCAACATCTACCTGGACATCATCTACATCTTCTCCTTCTTCCTGCAGTTCTTTGGCTCCAGCCAGGAGTGAGGGCAGCGGGGCAGGATGCTCCCCGTGCTGGCAAATGTGAGGGGTTAAATTGAGAAGCAGAGGTGAAAGGGTTCAAACCCGCCAGCCTGACCCAATCCCTCCCTTTCTGGTCCATCTGAGGGGCCCCAGGCCCCTCCTGCAGCTTTGTACATTTGCTGCCAGGCCTTTGTGACCCAGAGAGCAAAGCAGGGCTTCAGTGTCATGTCCCTTCTGCTCCCCCCAGTCCCGCCCAGCCCAGCCCAGTCCAGAGGCTGGGGCAGGAGCTGGGACCTTCCTGGCCCCAGGGGCTGCTGGAGGTGCCCTCTGAGTGCTGCCCATCATGGGGTGAAAGTGCTGTGACCAAACAGCAGAGAGGGCAACAGAGCAGGGAGTTTGGTGAGATCCTGGCAGGAAAAGCAGCTGAGCTGAGGGAAAAGCCTTGGGGAATCCTGGCATTGCCCTATTCCCCACAATCCATGGGAGCTTGGTGGCCTCTGTGCTACTCCTGGTGACTCCTGCTGTTGGAAAGATGGAGTGTGGGATCACGTAGCTGGATTTCAGTGCTCCAGGCACAGGGAACCTGTTTGTTCAGGACGTGCAGCTCTCTGAGGTCATCCCTGGTGCCTCTGCAGGAAAAATTCCCCTGGATCACTTGTATCCGGCTGAGTGTCCTTCCCTTCCCTTCCCTTCCCTTCCCTTCCCTTCCCTTCCCTTCCCTTCCCTTCCCTTCCCTTCCCTTCCCTTCCCTTCCCTTCCCTTCCCTTCCCTTCCCTTCCCTTCCCTTCCCTTCCCTTCCCTTCCCTTCCCTTCCCTTCCCTTCCCTTCCCTTCCCTGATCCATGGCTCCCACCCTGGGCAATGTGCTGGTTCTTTTTGCACTGTGGCTCCTCACAGGGGGATTTGGGATCCCAGGGAAGGAATATTTCAGGAAATGGCAGAGAAGAGCTGGAGGAGGCTGAGTTTCCATGCTGGGAAATGCCATTCCATGTGGGAAATGGGCTGGGATCCTGTGACCCACCCTGAGGCTCTGACACCCTCTCAGAACTGTCCTGGTTGCTCCAGATTTGGGTTCCTAAGGGGTTCTTTCCAGGGGCTGAGGCCATTGGAGCAGCAAGGCTCCTCTCCATGGCTGTTTTCCATTTCTCTCTCCCAAAGGGGAATGTCAGCGCGGGCTCTGGATGTGCTCAGGTAACTTTCCACCGTGCCCCGCTCACATTCCCTGTTTGGGGCTCAGCTGGCTGATCTGGGGCTGTAAAGCTCCCCAGGGAGATAAGGGCCCTTTTGCTCTCATTCCAAGGGTGATCCCTGCTGCAGATAGGAGCTGGTATCTCCCATCTCGCTGGGAATGCCGCGAGTGCTGCGTCAGGGAGCTGCCTCCAGCAATTCCTGCTGCACAGAGGCTCTGCCAGAACGCTGGAACGTTCCTGCTCCTTCTGCCCTGGGTTTTACCCCACACATGTCCTGTCCTCCTGCCACACGTGTGCAGGGAAAGTTACTGGGCAGGGAATGGAAATGCTCCAGCCCCTCTGTGGCTGCAGTGATGAGCAAAGTGATGCCTTCCCCTTGTCTTCCTTCCTTCTAAAACAACCTCCAAAAAAACCTCAATCAGAACAAAAATCCCCAGTCAGACACAAAAACCCCCAACTAGACCAAAAAACCCCAGTCAGACATAAAAACCCCCCAACTAGACCAAAAAATCTCTGACTGGACAAAAAAAAAACCAAACCCAACCAGACCAAAAAATTCTCATCCAGATTAAAAAACCCCAGTCAGACACAAAAACCTCCAACCAGACCAAAAAATCTCAACCAGATAAAAAACCCCAGTCAGACACAAAAAACCCCAACCAGACCAAAAAAATTCTCATCCAGATCAAAAAACCCCAGTCAGACACAAAAAACCCCAACCAAACCAAAAAATTCTCATCCAGATTAAAAAACCCCAGTCAGACCAAAAATCTCCAAGCAGACCAAAAAATCTCAACCAGATCAAAGAAGCCCCAACCAGACCAAAAAAACCCCAGTCAGATACAAAAAACCCCAGATCAAAATCTCAACTAGATCAAAAAATCCCCAACCAGACAAGAAAACCCCAGCCAGACCAAAAACCCCAACCAGACCAAAAAACCCAGTCAGACACAAAAATCTCCAACCAGGTAAAAAATCCCCAACTTGACCAAAAAACCCCAACCAGACAAAAAAACCCCCAACCAGACAAAAAAACCCCAACCAGATAAAAAACCCCAACCAAAACCAAATTCTTTTTGGTTTGAAGGACAGCACGAGCTGATGGCAGCAGGAAGTTCATGCCCTGCTGGTTCCTGCTGAGGGGAACCAAACCCTTGGATTGCTGAGCAGGCAGGACTGGGAATGGCACAGGAGGAACCCTAAAAATGGATGGAATTGGAGTTCCAGGAGGGAATTTCCCGGCCTTCAGCAGCCTTTCCTTGCTCACAGTGATTTCCTGTAGGGATTTGTGCTTTCCAGGCTTGGAGGGAGGAGTGTGGAGCTCCATGATGAGCTCTGGCTCTGAAATAGTCCCAAAACTCCTCCAAAATGCCCTGCTGGGAGCTGGGGAGGAACACAGGGACCTGCAGCCCCCTCTGGAATTGTTCTTTTTCCTTCTGCTGTGGAGTAACTTCGCTGCTGCTGCATCCTGGCTTTCCTGCTGATATATCCTGGCTTTCCTGCTGATATATCCTGGCTTTCTTGCTGATATATCCTGGCTTTCCTGCTGATATATCCTGGCTTTCTTGCTGATATATCTTGGCTATTCTGCTGATATATCTTGGCTTTTCTGCTGATATATCCTGGCTTTTCTGCTCCCTATTAGGAACACCTGGCATGACCCCGCTCCAGGCACCTGGCTAGGGGGTATTTCTACCCTCCTGTGTCCCTTGCACATGTCCTGGTCCCTTTTCCACGCTGATCCCACCCCAGCCAGCCCTGGTGGATGCTGAGCACTGTCCTGCTCGGGGAGCTGGAGCTCCTCAGGACGGTGAGGGATGCAGGATTTGGGGTGGGATGTGGAGGGCTGCTCCCCCTCCTCCTGTGTCCTCCACCCCAAGTCCTCATCCAGCTCCAAATCCAAACCTTTGGAGAGGTCATTCCTGTGATTTCACTGTAAATAGGATTTTGTATCTTCTCTGACTATTGCTAATAAATGGTTGCAAAACTGTTCCTGTGCCTGTTCCTGCTCTGGTTGTGCAGGTGCTGCTTCACCCCTTCAGATGTAAACAAGGTCCTGGCATGGCCCAGAGGTTTAACGGAGCCAGAGTCACCTCTTCCCTGGTTATGAGTAAAGAAAACATCCCACACACAGCAATAAAAGCACAAGGATCTGGAACAGGTGTCATGGGTGAGGAACAGCTCAGAGCTGAGGGCCAGAGGACTCCTGGAATGAGGGATTTGCTCCCTTTCCCACAGGATTCAAAATCCAGTGAGTGGGGATAAGTTGTGGGAGGGCTGCAGCTCCAAGGGAACTTTCTACCATGCTGGAGAGCAGCTGGAGCTTTCCCAAGAGTAAATGGAGGAAAAAAAATCCTCCAGGGACAATTCACCACCACAGAGCAATAGAAGCACAAGGATCTGGAACAGGTGTCATGGGTGAGGAACAGCTCAGAGCTGAGGGCCAAAGGGCTCCTGGAACGAGGGATTTGCTCCCTTTCCCACTCATTTTATGTGGCCACAGGATTCAAAATTCAGTGAGTGGGAGAGGGCTCCAGCTCCAAGGGAATTTTCTGCCAGCTGTAGCTTTCCCAAGCGTAAATGAAGGAAAAAAAAATCCTCCAGGGACAATTTACCACCCAAAATGAGAGGTAAACTCCCACCTGGGAGAGGTAAACTGCAAACTGCACTGGGAGGGACAAACTCCCATCTCACTCCCTCAGCTCTGAAGGGATGGATGTCCAGGACAGAAATCCCAGTGCAGCAGGGATTGGATCCTTCCCAAAAGCACTCTGTGCTTTTAGGAAAGAGTCAAACCCAAAATGTGGGAAATGTGGCTCCTGGGAAGTGATGCTGGACAGCCAGGAGGGATTTCCCTGCATTTTCTGTATGAAAAAAGGGACTGAATTATTCTGGAACATTCCCACACAAATAATGAGGTGTCCAAGAGCAGGTGGATGAGGCATCATCAGGGTTCCCTGAAATGACCACAGACATGATGAAAGGCTGATGATTCCATCAAATTTCAGCACTGGGCTTTTGGATGCTCAGGAAAAAATTGGGGTTCATCAGGCTGGAACCATGAAAGGAAGGATGGAGGGATGCAGGATAAGGGGAAGTTTGGGCAGGGTGTGAGGGATGCTGGAGGGAGGAAGGGATGGAGCTGCTTCCCATGCCTGTTGAACACAGAAATTTGGGAGTCCTAAATCCAGCCAGAGAGAGTCAGAGGAGACTTCAAACCCCTGAATTCCATTGCCTAGAGGAGGGGGGAAATTGTATTTGGTTTTGCACCTTTTTTCTACCTTTCTTCTGTGGCCAGGGGTCCCAGCACAAGGAGGATGAGGAGCTGCTGGAGAGAGCCCAGAGGAGGCCACAGAGCCCCTCTGGACCAGGCTGGGAGAGCTGGGGGTGCTCAGCTGGACAGGAGAAGGGAAAGGAGACCCTGGAGCCCTGGCAGGGCCTGAAGGGGCTCCAGGAGAGCTGGAGAGGGACTGGGGCCAAGGGATGGTGTCACAGACATAATTTCTGAAAAATCCTTTCACTAGGATCTTTTCTCCTGGGAAGCTTCATCTTCTCCATGTTTTGCTCCTTTGGAATGTGATGAGGAGAATTAATTGTTAAGCCAGCATGTGAACTGTCTTTACTTGGTGGCCAATGGCAGCAGCTGTGTGGAGGCTGTGAGCAGTCCAGGCTGGGAGGTTAGGCCTGCACTTAGAACTTCTGTTAATTTAATAAAACCTTTTAAAGCCATGGCCCCATTATCCATGTCAAAAGCCAAGTATTTGGTACCATTTCAATTTCAAATGAAATTATAATCTATATTTTTTTTTGTTCTTGAGCAGTCACAAGAATTTATTATTCCTTTCTTTGCTTGCCTTCTGATGAAATCCTTTCTCTTTCTTTAGAGTAGCTTTAGTATAGCATTTTTAATACAATATATATCATAAAACAATAAATCAGCCTTCTGAAACATGGAGTCAAGATTCTCATCTCTTCCCTTGTTGGGGTTGCCTGCGAATTCCACAGGATGGAGGGACAGAACACAGGGAATGGCTCCCAGTGCCAGAGGGCAGGGATGGATGGGATATTGGGAATTAGGAATTGTTCCTTGGGAGGGTGGGGAGGCCCTGGGATGGATTTCCCAGAGCACCCGGGGCTGCCCCTGGATCCCTGGCAGTGCCCAAGGCCAGGTTGGACAGGGCTGGGAGCAGCCTGGGACAGTGGGAGGTGTCCCTGCCATGGCAAGGATGGGATGGGATGGGATGGGATGGGATGGGATGGGACGGGATGGGATGGGATGGGATTTATGGGATTTATGGGATTTATGGGATTTATGGGATTTATGGGATTGATGGGACGGGATGGGATGGGATGGGATTTATGGGATGGATTTTAAGGTCCCTTCCCACCCAAACCATTCCCGTGAAAACACAGAAGGGCCGATGCAGGGAGCCGGAGCCTTTCACCTGCACTTGTGAGCTCCAGGCGCCCCCTGCTCTCCACGCTGTGCTTGAAACCAGCAGCAAACGAAACCCAGCTGGCTGTGCCAGCTTAACTGTGAGAAACGCCAATCACTCGTTTTTAAAATTTTAAAAGTTTAATAGTTATTAAATGGTTATAAAATAGTAATATAATTAGAGTAATAATAATTTGGACAATTTGGATTAGGACAATTTGAGACAATAAAAACAAAGTGTTACAGACAGTCCAGGTGCCTTTTCTGGGCAACATAAGCCCGAAGAAGGACCCACGTTAACAGAGGATTAACCCTTAAAAGCAACAGCCTGTTGCATATTCATACAGCTCATGCATGATGCATAAATTCCATTCAAACACAGGATTCTGGCTGGGCAGTGTCAGCTTCTTCCTCTGAATCCTGACGGTGCCTTCAGTTGGGAAGAAGTTCATTTCTCCTGATAATGGGGCAATAAATTCTCTTTCTCTGAAAGATTCAGGTGTCCTGTGGCTGCTATCTCAGTGCGAGTCCTTTCTTTAGGAAAAAAGTATCCCGCATAGCATAGTTTCTATTTTAACATTTTGTTATAACCTAAAACTATATTTAACACACTACTTAAGAGAATTAATACAGCATCACTTTCTAACACAGCACATTAATATTCATTTTAATATTTGCAAAAAGCCAATCATAAAATACACATTTTTCACATTAACCCAAAACCTTTGCCAGGGCCCTTTACCTGAACCTCCCCTCCTCTTAAACCCCCCTTTAACTGGGAACTTTCATTTTCTTCTGCTGTAAAACCTCTCTCAGCTGCAGCCTGTGGGGTCCTGGGCATCCCCAATGTAACCACGTGTTTAATTGTGATTTAAATAACTTTTATTTGTTATTGATGTGTATATGGTATATTATTATATTACTTTATTATTTTATTATTTTATATTTATAAAATTTTGATTTTATTTATAATTATTTTTATTTATTTTTAAATTTATATATTATTTTATATTTTATATTTTTATTTCATTATTTTATTAATTCTATTTCTATTTATTTTTATTACTTTATTTTAATTTTTATTACTTTATTTTTATTTTTATTTATAAATAGTTAATTTATTATTATTTAATTTATTATTATATTACTATATTGTACTATATATTATTATATTATATAATATTATTATATATCGTATATTTATACAGTATTTTATAACATCGGTTAGTATTATTCCAATATTCTTTCAATAACGCTGACATAAGTAGCATTTACACACTATTTATTTGAACAAAATTAATATGTTTTATGTGATAAAATGTGATTTTTATATTAATTATTTAACATGTATGTGTCATTTAAACGCCTGAACCCTGCCAAGGCCTGAGACCATTGCCATGGCAATGCAGGGTGAGCATTCAAAGGGGACACAGGGTGGCTGTCACTGTCCCTCTGCAGCCTGGCAGGGCCAGACAGGGCTGTGAGAAACAGAATTCACTGCTTAGGGTTTTTAAAAGTTTAAACATTAAAACAAAATAAAATAAAATAAAATAAAATAAAATAAAATAAAATAAAATAAAATAAAATAAAATAAAATAATAAAAGTAAATAACAATAACAATAACAAGGACAAAATTTCCAGCACTGGGGTGCTCCTGCCCAACAGCCAAAGAACACCCCGGTGTACACAGACAGTGTTATCTTTATACTGTTACATTGCTGAGGTAAATGCACATTCATGTGTTTCATGCATTATTCTTTTGAACTTTCTGATGTTTTGGGAACTCCTTTGTTTGACTACTCAACACTCTGGTTTACCTGCATGACATCCTGGGTGTCAGGTCAATATATTTTATTTCTTCTTGTGTCTCCATCCTGCTGTTTTACATTCTCTGATAAGGATTTCGTATGCCCTCCTTAATTTTAGCATGCTATTCTCTAATTGTCCTCCAGTGCTCTGGTTGGTGTCACGGTTATTGTGAAAAACGCCAATCACTTGTTTTTAAAATTTTAAAAGTTTAATAGTTATTAAATGGTTATAAAAATAGTAAGACAATTAGAGTAATAATAATTTGGACAATTTGGATTAGGACAATTTGAGACAATAAAAACAAAGAGTTACAGACAGTCCGGGTGCCTCTTTCTGGGCAACATAAGCCCAAAAAAGGACCCACATTAACAGAGGATTAACCCTTAAAAACAACAGCCTGTTGCATATTCATACACCTCATGCATGATGCATAAATTCCATTCAAACACAGGATTCTGGCTGGGCAGTGTCAGCTGCTTCCTCTGAATCCTGACGGCGTCGTCCTGCCCGAACAAGGCAGGAAGAAGTTAATTTCTTTCTGATAATGGAGCAATAAATTCTCTTCCTCTGTAAGATTCAGGTGTCCTGTGGCTGCTATCTCGGTGCGAGTCCTTTCTTTAGGAGAAAAGTATCGTACATAGCAGAGTTTCTATTTTAACATTTTGTTATAACCTGAAACTATATTTAATACCATACTTAAGAGAATTAATACAGCATCACTTTCTAACACAACACATAAAATATTCATTTCAATATTTGTGAAAAGCCAATCAAAATACACATTTTTCACAGCATCTTATGTTTTGCTAAGGCCTATAACACAGCACATTCATCACACTGTTATTTCCATAATGATACACAGACATTATATTCATTACACACAGGTGCAATACAGAGCATACTTAAACTGATAGATTATATTACACCAACAGGCACTAACAGGAGTGATAATTGATTCTATTTCTAAATAGTTATAATCACTAACAATATGCTAATACCTAAATGCAAAAGCCAATATTATCTGGTCATTTTTCACAGGGTTGTGAAAAATGTGTATTTTATGATTGGCTTTTTGCAAATATTCAAATGAATATTACATGTGTTGTGTTAGAAAGTGATGCTGTATTAATTCTCTTAAGTACTGTGTTAAATATAGTTTTAGGTTATAAAAAAATGTTAAAATAGAAACTATGCTATGTGGGATACTTTTTTCCTAAAGAAAGGACTCGCAGTGAGATAGCAGCCACAGGACACCTGAATCTTACAGAGAAAGAGAATTTATTGCTCCATTATCAGGAGAAATGAACTTCTTCCTGCCTCACTCAGAGAGGATGATACTGTTAGGATTCAGAGGAAGAAGCTGACACTGCCCAGCCAGAATCCTGTGTTTGAATGGAATTTATGCATCATGGATGAGGTGTATGAATATGCAGCACGCTATTGCTTTTAAGGGTTAATCCTCTGTTAACGTGGGGCCTTTTGGGGGCTCATGTTGCCCAGAAAAGGTACCAGGACATCTGTAACTCTTTGTTTTTATTGTCTCAAATTGTCCAAATCCAAATTGTTCAAATTATTATGACTCTAATTGCATTACTATTTTTATAACAATTTAATAACTATTAAACTTTTAAAATTTTAAAAACAAGTGATGGGCGCTTTTCACAGGGTTCTTTACACAAAATGTCTAAAGATGTCTAAAGTCTCTTCCCCTCCAAGAGGCTGTGGCTGCCCTGGTGGTGCTGTCCCTGTCCCCTGTCCCTGTCCCTGTCCCTGCCCCTGCCCCTGTCCCTTGTCCCTGTCCTTTTCCCTGTCCCTGTCCCTGTCCCTGTCCCTGTCCCCTGTCCCTGTCCCCTGTCCCTATCCCCGTCCTTTTCCCTGTCCCTGTCCCTGTCCCTGTCCCTATCCCTATCCCCGTCCCTGTCCCTGTCCCCTGTCCCTGTCCCCTGTCCCTGTCCCTTGTCCCTGTCCCTGTCCCTTGTCCCTGTCCCCTGTCCCTGTCCCTTGTCCGTTTTCCCTGTCCCTGTCCCTTGTCCCTGTCCCGGAACGTTTCTGCCCCGGAACGTTTCTCTCCGGTTGCGGTTCCCGCCCGGCGCGGGGAGCGATGCCAAGATGGCGGCGCCCATCAGCCGCAGCGGCTCCGAGCCCGGCGCGGCTCCCTACGGGAACTTTCCGAATTATTCCCGGTTCCACCCGCCCGAGGACCGCATCAGCCTCCTGCCCCAAGGGCTCCTGCACAGCCTCTTCCCCGCGGCCACCCGCCCGCTCCTGGGGCTCGATGTGGGCTGCAACTCCGGGGTGAGGGGGCCACACGCAGGCGGGTTTGGGGCACCTCGGGGGGACGGGGTGCGGGCGACACCCCAGTTTGGGGTGTTGGGGACACTTGGACAGACTGGGAAGTCCTGGCGTGAGGTCCTGGGGGGCGCTGGTACAGACTGGTGTAGGGTACTGGGGCATACTGGGAGGCACTGGTGGGGGCACTGGGGACACTGGGGCAGACTGGCAGTCCCCTGGTACTGGGGGCACTGGGACGGCACTGCTGGGGGGCACGAGTTGGCACTGGGGCACACTGGGGGGCACTGGGGGACAATCCAGTTGCTGTGTCAACCCTAAACCTGCACCAGAGCGCTTAACCTGAACTTCCCTTCCTCTTAAACTCCCCTTTAACTGGGAACTTTCATTTTCTTCTGCTTTAAAATCTCTCTCAGCTGCAGCCTGTGGGGTCCTGGGCACCCCCAGTGTAACCGTGGAGAAGGCTGGGGATGAGGCACTGCTCTGGGGTGGGGCAGACTGGGAACACTGGTGGGGAATGAGGGAGGGCAATGGGACAAACTGGGAGCGCAGGGAAAGGCAGGGGCTGGGAGAGGTGGAGGAGCCCAGGGAGGCAGATGGGAATGGTGGGGGGGCACTGGTGGGGGGTGCTGGGAGCACTGATGGGGAGTGCTGGGAGCACTGGGAGCATTGGTAGGGATGGGGAGCACTGGTGGGGAATGCTGGGAGTGCTGGGAGCACTGAGAGGGGTGGGGGAGCACTGGTGGGGAGTGCTGGGAGCACTGGGAGCATTGGGAGGGATGGGGAGCACTGGTGGGGAATGCTGGGAGTGCTGGGAGCACTGGGAGGGGTGGGGGGGCACTGGTGGGGAGTACTGGGAGCACTGGGAGGGATGGGGGACACTGGTGGGGAGTGCTGGGAGCACTGGGAGGGATGGGGAGCACTGGTGGGGAGTACTGGGAGCACTGGGAGGGATGGGGAGCACTGGTGGGGAGTACTGGGAGCACTGGGAGGGATGGGGAGCACTGGTGGGGAGTACTGGGAGCAGTGGGGGGGCACTGGTGGGGAGTACTGGGAGAGGTGGGGGGGCACTGGTGGGGAGTGCTGGGAACACTGGGAGAGATGGGGGGCACTGGTGGGGAGTGCTGGGAGCACTGGGAGAGGTGGGGGGCATTGGTGGGGAGTGCTGGGAACACAGATGGGGAGTGCTGGGAGCACTGGGAGGGGTGGGGGGCACTGGTGGGGAGTACTGGGAGAGGTGGGGGGGCACTGGTGGGGAGCACTGGGAACACTGGGAGAGATGGGGGGCACTGGTGGGGAGTGCTGGGAGCACTGGGAGAGGTGGGGGGCATTGGTGGGGAGTGCTGGGAACACAGATGGGGAGTGCTGGGAGCACTGGGAGGGGTGGGGGGCACTGGTGGGGAGTGCTGGGAGCACTGGGAGGGATGGGGGGCATTGGTGGGGAGTGCTGGGAGCAGTGGGGGGGCACTGGTGGGGAGTGCTGGGAGCACTGGGAGGGATGGGGGGCATTGGTGGGGAGTACTGGGAGCACTGGGAGGGATGGGGAGCGCTGATGGGGAGTGCTGGGAGCAGTGGGGGGGCACTGGTGGGGAGCACTGGGAGCACTGGGAGGGATGGAGAGCACTGGTGGGGAGTGCTGGGAGCACTGGGAGGGATGGGGAGCGCTGATGGGGAGTGCTGGGAGCAGTGGGGGGGCACTGGTGGGGAGCACTGGGAGAGGTGGGGGGCACTGGTGGGGAGTACTGGGAGCACTGGGAGGGATGGGGGGCACTGGTGGGGAGTACTGGGAGCACTGGGACAGATGGGGAGCACTGGGGCAGGCAGTGCCCAGCGTGTGGGAGAACTGGGAACACTGGGACAGTCACCTCCATGGGATGCTGGGAGGAGTGGGGCAGACTGGGAAGAAACCTTGTCCTGGGTCTGTAATTCCCTCTGGGAATGGGGATTCCTCCCCTGCCCAGCCCTTTCCATGAGGAATTTTCCCTAAAATGGAACCTAAACCTCCCCTGGATCTGCTTCCTCTCATTCTGCTCCTGGGAACAGATCCCACCCCTCCTGCAGCACCTCCTGTCTGGGTTGGAGAGTGAGGAGGTCCCACATGAGAGCCCAGCTCCCTCAGGGGTTTCCAGCTCTGGCTGCTGCTCCAGCCCTTTCCCAGCTCCATTCCCAGCTCCACACACATTCCAGTCCTGCCCTGGATCCAGGTGTGGCCTCACCTGGCCCAGCCAAGGTGAATTATTGATCCCACCCTGCTGGGACAGTGCTGCTGCTCCTGGGGGTTGGAATTCCCCTGAGGCATTACCAAAGGGACAATTCCAGGTCCCATTCCGGGTGAGCTGGTGGAGCAGGTCAGTGAGAAGCACCTGTCACCACCAGAGGACATTCCCAGCCTGTCCTGTGCCTGCAGCTCCAGGAGCTCCATGGGATCTCCTTTAATTAAGGATTAATTCACTTTCCATCAGTGTGCAGTGTGGAAAGAGATTCCAGGCTGGGGGACCTGGACATTCCAGGGGCTTGGAGCCACCTGCTGTTGTGGAAGGTGTTCCATGGCAGGGCTGGAGGGGGTGAGCTGGGTTCCTCCAGCCCAGAGCATTCCAGAATTCCCTGGTTTCTGGAGCAGGCCCTCTGTGCTGTGGGGGTGTCAGCACAGGTGGGGTCCCCTGTAATAATAACTGTAATAAGTTACACAGACTCCATGCATTCACAGAAGGTTAGAGATCCATTTCTTTATATATTCATTTATTTCTATTTTCATTTCTTTATAGTTTCATTTATTTCTTTATTAAGAAGCCTATTGCTTTTTTATACCCTACTTCACTACAGGTGGACCTAACTGGTCCTCTAATTAAAACACCATCACCATTGGTTAATTAAGAAACCACCCTTTGGGAAACAAATCTCCACAACATATTGCACATGTTCACACCACCAGGTACAGCGAGTGAAGATAAGAATTGTTTCTTATTCTGTTCTCTGAGCTTCTCACAGCCTTTCCCATGCCTGGGAAGGTTGTGCCTCTCTCTGTGGCCACAGAGCTGCTGCCCCATGGGGGATCTGCTCCAGGTGCTCAGGGCTCTCCCAGGACAGACCTTGGTCAGATTTTCATTTGGACACCCACGAGAGGCAGCTCTGGGGAGCTCCCTGAATCGCTGTTTTCCTCCTGCAGGAGCTCAGTGTGGCTCTGTACCAGCACCTGCTGGGCCTCCAGGACAGCAGTTCCAGCCCAGAGCCACCAGGAGCCGACAAGGAGCTGAAGCTGCTGTGCTGTGACATCGACCCCGAGCTGATCCGGAGGGCCCAGCAGAGCAGCCCCTTCCCTGCCTCCATCTCCTTTGCCAGCCTGGACATCATGGACTCGGGGGCCAGGGAGCCCTTCCTGAGCTCCTTCCTGCAGCGCTTCGGCCGCTCCTCCTTCGACATCGGCTTCTGCATGTCCGTGACCATGTGGATCCACCTGAACCACGGCGACAGGGGCCTGCTGGAGTTCCTGGCCCTGCTGGCCTCGCTCTGCACCTTCCTGCTGGTGGAGCCCCAGCCCTGGCGGTGCTACCGGGCGGCCGCGCGCCGGCTGCGCAGGCTGGGCCGCGACGACTTCGAGCATTTCCGATCGCTGCGGATCAACGGGGACATGGCCGAGAGCATCACCCGCATCCTGACCCAGGAGTGCGCCATGGAGCTCGTCTGCTCCTTCGGGAGCACCTCCTGGGACAGGAGCCTGCTGCTCTTCAGATCCACCACTGCCCGTCCCCAGGGCTCTGACTGAGGAGCGGCCTCACACAGCCCTGGGCCCACGGGCACGAGGCAGAGCTGGCAATTCCTGAACCCCTGCTGGGAGCAGGCCTTGGCTTCCCGTGCGAGTCCAGGGCATGGAATGGCTGGGACTGATTTGTTGGGACAGTTAATGAAGAAAGTGCCCTTTGATAAACTAATCTCCACAACACATTCCACATGGAGCAGCCTGGGAGAGTGGAAGGTGTCCCTGGGGATGGGATTGGATAGGATGGGATGGATTTTAAGGTCCCTTCCCACCCAAACCATTCCAGATGTTCACGACACCAGGTGCAGCAAGTGGAGATAAGAATTGTTTCTCATTCTTTTCTCTGATCTTCTCACAGCCTTCCCCAGAACCATGCCTGGGAAGGTTGTGCCTCTCTCTGTGGCCACAGAGCTGCTGCCCCACGGGGGATCCACTCCAGGTGCTCAGGGAGCACCAATTTTGTGGGGTGGGAGGTTGTTCAAGGAAGTGCTCTTGGAATCCAAGTTCCTACATGTGCTTTCCACGTGTATCAAGAATATCCCCTGGCATTCCAGTCCCTCAGAGGCCTGCCCTGGATCCAGGTGTGGCCTCACCTGGCCCAGCAAAGGTGAATTATTGATCCCACCTGAAACCCACCCTGCCAGGACAGACTGCTGTTCCTGGAATACCAGGGAACATGCCCTAGGGAATGTGGAATGTCCTGATTGGAACAGCCTCACAAGGATCCTCCAGTCTAGCTCCTGGCCCTGCACAAGACATCCCAAAAAATCCCACTAATCCCAAAATCCTGATGCCCAAGTTGTCCAGACATTCCTGGACCTCCAGAATCATGGAATATCCAGAGCTAAAAGGGACCTGTGAGGATCACAGAGTCATGAACATCCAGAGTTGGAAGGAACCCACCTGGATCATCAAGTCCAAGTCCTGGCCCCACACAGGACATCCCAAAATCCCAGCCAGTGCCTGAGAGTGTTGTCCAAGCTCTCCCTGACCTCCAGAATTATGGAATAATCAGAGTTGAAAGGGACCCACAAGGATCCCTTGTGAGTACCCTGAGTTGGAAGGGACCAGCTCCAACTCTTGGCCCGGGACAACCCAAAAATCCCACTGATCCCAAAATCCCAGCACCCTGAGCTCTGGTTTCCTGGGGCTGTCACCATTCCCTGGGGAGCTGTTCCCCTGTGGATGAGGAACCTTTTCCCAAAGTGCACCCAAAACTCGCCCAGGGCTGGGCTGAGGCACCTGCAGGACAATTCCCTCCCTGGCCCCAGCAGCCCAGGCTGAGCTCTCCCAGACAGGGGTTCATCCCTAACGGTGAGTGATCTTGGGAATGAAATCCTTGGAATAAAAATCACTGAATTTTATCCCAAATTCCGTGTTGGGGTTTTTAATCCCGTTTTTATTGCCATCCCTTTCAGCACCTGAGGGGTGCCAGGGACCTGAGCTGGCAATTCTATTGTACTTCCACCTTTCCTTGCTGCAGTGGGAGCGAGGGAAGGCCAGGGGTGTCCCGAGCCTTGTTCCAGGTGAGCTCCATTCCAGAGGGAAGGAGGTGGCACCTCCAGGAGGTGGTGCTCGAGTGTCACTGCTGCTGCCCGGGTGAGCAGGGGAACACCCGGGTGGATTTGTCCTTGTCCTTCCTGGGAATTCCTTATTTCCTTCTGTAGGGAGAGTGAGGGAAGGGAAGGGAAGGGAAGGGAAGGGAAGGGAAGGGAAGGGAAGGGAAGGGAAGGGAAGGGAAGGGAAGGGAAGGGAAGGGAAGGGAAGGGAAGGGAAGGGAAGGGAAGGGAAACCTTGGAGCCCCTTCTGGTGCCTAAAGGGGCTCCAGGAGAGCTGGAGAGGGACTGGGAACAAGGGATGGAGGGGCAGGACACAGGGAATGGCTTCCAGAGGGCAGGGATGGATGGGATATTGGCAGGAATTCCCCCCTGTGAGGGTGGTGAGGGCTGGAATGGATTTCCCAGAGCAGCTGGGGCTGCCCCTGGATCTGGAAGTGTCCAAGGCCAGGCTGGACAGGGCTTGGAGCAACCTGGGAGAGTGGAAGGTGTCCCTGCCCATGGGATGGGATGGGATGGGATGGGATGGATTTTAAGTTCCCTTCCCACCCAAACCATTCCATGATCCCCGGGGTTTTGGGATGCTGAGCAGGGTTGCAGGAAAACTTTGAGGCCCTTCCCATAAATGCAACTTCCCAGGGATCCTGCAGCTCCTCCAGCACGTGAATCCCTTTGGGAACTGAGCAGCTCCCTGGCATTCCAGGAGCTCTGGGAAGCTCTGCTGACTCTGGGCTGTCACTCCTAGCCTGTTTTCCTCCCTTTGCTCCTGCTCAGCTGCTCTTTCCCAGCTGGGGGCACTGGAGGATCATGCATCCCACACCCTTCCCCCCCTGGAATGTTTTCCTTCCCTTGTGTCAATATTTGGTGCTGTTTTCTTTCACCTTTGAAACGTTTCTGAACTAAGGCCAGCTCTGTCTCTGCTCCCAGATAAAGGGGGAAGAATTTCTGCCTTTCTTTTTCCTTTGGGGATTTTCGTGCTTCCCTGTGAAAAATTCTAGGAAGAGTTGTTAGGAAGGTGCCTCCCAAATTGTTGTCCCTGCACCTGGCTGGAAGGATCTTCTCCTTCCCAGAGACCCTGGTTCATGTTCCTTATTTCCTTATTTACTGGGAATCCCCCCAGGATGTGCCTGGGGAATCCTCCTGGGCTGCTCTTTGAGTGTGGGTTGGAGTTGATAATTCCTATTTTATTTTTGTGGAGTTGATAATTCCTATTTCATTTTTATGGAGTTGATAGTTCCTATTTTATTTCTCTGGAGTTTATACTTCCTCTTTTTCCAGCTTTTCCATGCTGTCCATGCGTGGTGTGTCTGTAACTGCACAGTGGTTCCTTATCTCTCATTCCTGGACTTTGGAATTGCTGATAAGGCTCAGGAGTGGCCCAGCTCCAGAATTGCCTCTGCTTGGCTTTGGCACAGCCAAATCCTTTGAGTTTGCCACAAATACAGCTCAGAATAATCAAAACGAGTCCCTTTGCTCAGCCTGGAGAAAAGGAGGCTTAGGGGGGACCCTCTCCCTCTCCTCAATTCCCTGACAGAGCCCTGGTGGAGCCAGGGGAGATTTGGGATCTGCTACCAGGGAACAAGGGAAAAACGGCCTCGAGTTGCAGCAGGGGAAGTTTGGGATGGATATTGAGAGAATTCCTTCCTGGAAAGGGTTGTAAAGCACTGGAAGGGGCTGCTCAGGGCAGTGGGGAGTCCCCATCCCTGGGAATGTCCAAGAAAAGTGTGGATGTGGCACCTGGGGACATGGTCAGGGATGAGCAGGGTGGTGCTGTGTTGATGGTTGGGCTCAGTCATCTCTGAGGGCTTTTCCAACTGAGCAATTCCAGGGTTCTGTGATCCCAGGAGACTGCACAGCTCAGCATGGAGTCAGTCCTTCAGCAAAGAGGAGGAAAGATCACTTTGATTTTCCTTTCAGCTCCTGCTGTCCAGGAAGGTGTTGGCCCTGGAGAGATGGGAACAGCTCTGGGATGCAGCCATGGCAGAGCCTGGAGGAGATCCCAGGGATCCCAGCTGCAGTAAGGATCTGGAGAATTCTGTGTTTAACACTCTGCATTTCCCATATCTCTAACATGTGTTCCCAGTTTTCCTGAGGGTGGGACAGAGGGGAGCTCCAGCTGGGGGTCAAACCCACACCTGCTCCTTGGCCAGCAGCAAAGCTCTGTGCTGGTTCCTCCTGGACAAGGAGAGGGGAGATGGAGGTCCTGGACTCGGGGAAGGCTTTGGCTGGGAAGGGACTGCAAATATCCCCATCCCACCCCTGCCATGGCAGGGACACCTCCCCCTGTCCCAGCTGCTCCCAGCCCCATCCAGCCTGGCCTGGACACTTCCATGGATCCAGGGGCAGCCCCAGCTGCTCTGGGCACCCTGACTCGGTTTCCTTGGGCCTCCAGGATCCAGGACACCTGGAGCAGGGCAGAGAGGGGTGTCCCTGACCCCAGGATGGGCCTGCCAGGGCTGGCTGCTGCTGCTGAGGGAGCAGGAGCTTCCCTGGGAGTGCAGAGCTCCCCTGGAGCAGCTGGCTGTGCCTTGGGAAGCTCCTGAGCTCCGAGCTTTGGGATTGTTCCCAAGCTTTGGGATTGTTCCTGAGCTCTGGGATTGTTCCTGAGCTCTGAGCTCTGGGATTGTTCCTGGGCTCTGAGATTTGGGATTGTTCCTGAGCTTTGGGATTGTTCCTGAGCTCTGAGCTCTGGGATTGTTCCTGAGCTTTGGGATTGTTCCTGAGCTCTGAGCTTTGGGATTGTTCCCAAGCTTTGGGATTGTTCCTGAGCTCTGAGCTCTGGGATTGTTCCTGAGCTCTGAGCTTTGGGATTGTTCCTGAGCTTTGGGATTGTTCCTGGGCTCTGGGATTGTTCCCAAGCTTTGGGATTGTTCCTGAGCTCTGAGCTCTGGGATTGTTCCTGAGCTCTGAGCTTTGGGATTGTTCCTGAGCTTTGGGATTGTTCCTGAGCTCTGGGATTGTTCCCAAGCTTTGGGATTGTTCCTGAGCTCTGAGCTCTGGGATTGTTCCTGAGCTCTGGGATTGTTCCTGAGCTCTGGGATTGTTCCCAAGCTTTGGGATTGTTCCTGAGCTCTGAGCTCTGGGATTGTTCCTGAGCTTTGGGATTGTTCCCAAGCTTTGGGATTGTTCCTGGGCTCTGAGCTTTGGGATTGTTCCCAAGCTTTGGGATTGTTCCTGAGCTCTGGGATTGTTCCTGAGCTCTGAGCTCTGGGATTGTTCCTGGGCTCTGAGATTTGGGATTGTTCCTGAGCTTTGGGATTGTTCCTGAGCTCTGAGCTCTGGGATTGTTCCTGAGCTCTGAGCTTTGGGATTGTTCCTGAGCTCTGGGATTGTTCCTGAGCTCTGAGCTCTGGGATTGTTCCCGAGCTCTGAGCTCTGGGATTGTTCCTGAGCTCTGGGATTGTTCCCGAGCTCTGAGCTCTTGAATTGTTCCCAAGCTTTGGGATTGTTCCTGAGCTCTGAGCTCTGGGATTGTTCCTGAGCTCTGAGCTCTGGGATTGTTCCTGGGCTCTGAGCTCTGGGATTGTTCCCAGCCTCCAGCCCAGTTTGCCTCTGTTTTTCCATCCCCAGAATGGGTTTGATGCCCTGATGGGGAATCTTGCCTGTGTGATTGCACAGCGCTTTTGGGATGGAGAACTGAGCCTGGGCTCAGAGCTGTGCCCTGTTCCCAATAACCCCTGCAGGGATTAATCAGTGCCCTGCCAAGTGCTGGGACTCATGAAGGCTCCTCCTGCTGTGGGGAGCTCACTCTCCCCTTCCTTGCATGGAAGAATCGAGGCAGGGGAGCTGAAGCATCAAAATTCAGATGTTGGAGCTCCCACTTTCCAGGTGGTTCTGCAGGTGCTTCCAGCCCTTGGGGGAAGTGGAATTGGGTTGGAGTTGATGAGATCCCCTTTTTTATTTTTGTTTTGGATTTCTCTTTACCGTCACTCTTGTGGCGCTCAATGTCACTTCCTCTAAGGGACACTTTGCTGTCTCCCGGATTCCCGTGCTGAGTGAGCACAAAGGACACATTCCCAGGGAAAGATGGAGTGTGGAACTCTGGGCCCAGGCAGGAACAGGAGAGTGGCCTGAGGAAACAACCTGAGAGCACCAAATATCCTGGAGCTGCTCCCTTTTCCTGACACAGCTGGAGAGGGAGTCCCCAGCCCTGGAGGGAATTCACAGCTGTGTGGATGTGGCACCTGGGGACATGGCCAGGGGTGGCCTTGGCTGTGCTGGGGCGTGCTTGGGCTCCATGGGCTCAGAGGGCTTTTCCAAGCCAAGCCATTCCATGATTCTGTGTCATTGTGCCATTTCCACGGCTGCTTTTCCTGAGCCCTTGGAGCAGAAGGAATTCTTCAGACTCCTCGGCTCAGCTGGGATTCCTTCCCATTGCCCCAGCCCTGGCCCTGGAAGGGACCAGCTCCCCCAGCAGCCCCTTTCCTGAGCTCATCCAGGTTTTCATTCTCTACTTCCCCAATTTACCATATTTAGAAGTTTCTGTGAGCTCCCCCTTCCTAGAATTGGGTTGGACTTCAGCAAATGAAGTTGCATTTCCTCAAAGGGACTGTCCAAACCAGAGCTGGAACATATCCAAAAAGGCTTTCTCAGAGTTTGTTCAGCTGTGTTTGGCTTTGGTGCTGAGGGATGGACAGCTCCCACCCCTGGCAATTCCTGGCTGGGAAAATGGAGGATAATTCTGTCAAGGTTAAATCATGGCTGCCCCATCCTGGGAGGTGTTCAAGGCCCAGCTGGACAGGGCTTGGAGCACCTTGGGATAGTGGGAGGTGCCCCTGGGGACATTAAAGCCCACCCTGGGACTGGGTGGGTTTA